AAAAAAAAAAAAAAAAAAAAAAAAAAAAAAAAAAAAAAAAAAAAAAAAAAAGACGTTTCACACAGAAACAGGCAGTGACTCTTCGCGATATAATCATCATCGAAGATGGGTTCTCAGAGCAAGATCGGTCTTCCGATTGACTGATGGGCGGATCAGAATCAATTCTTCCCCCAATGCAAAAATCTCGAAAGAAGCCAAAGAAACCAGGCGGAAGTGTTCTTGAGTTTATAAGCTTTGTGACTGGGAGATGCATCTGCCAACACACGTGTCACAAAGAGAACGCAGAACAGTGATGGAGATGACATTGCTGGGCTCTTTTCCAACTCTTGGCTTCGATGATTATGCTGGAACCATTGAGCTTTTTTCTATGTACAGATGAATGGAAGGAAGCAGGCGTCTCACCAATGCAAGCGCACAGTGTGAAGAAAGAAACGAAGTTGTCAGCCACCAAGGACCAGTACCTCAGTCGCCCCTTAAAAGTTCAATTTTTCATTGAAGAGGGAAATCGCTCCTCTCCCGGCGATGTTGAGTTGTGCATCATATGAAGCGAGTATTATATCTTTTCAATTAGTGGTACTCTTCATTACCTGTATGAGTTGAAGGTGAGATGTGATGTTTAACCATGACTTAGAATTAATTAACGTGGGGGAGGGGTTTGGTTTGTTTGGTTTGTTTTTTATATTTAGGTGTTTTTTTTTTTTTTTTTTGTTTTCTCATGTGTGCTCCTAATGGGTGTGATCTTTGGTGACTGTTAGTATTTCTCGACTTAGGCGAATTGGAGTATAATCCTTTGACTTATTTTGTCGGATGACTTATATATCTAGCTTCCTTAGTTCTACTTTACTTAGGAAGTAATCCATGACATACTGTTTATCTTGCCAATCTTTCCTTTCAATTTTGTCGGCCTTGAATCAGGAGGGTTATTGAATGGGATATACTTCCACTCTTTATGGTAATAATCCGCGGGGGTGGAGCCATACATCCACTACGACACAGCAACTGAAACACTAGTGATGTTTTGTTCTCTGATTACTTTTCTGGAATTTGCTTCTCATGCAAAAGCGCCGTTAGGGTTTTTGACCCTTTAGTTTGGAATCCTACGTCACCAGGATCATTCAACTAATCTCGTTTCAATTTTGATGCTACTCACATCTTTCTGGTGTGAGTTAGATTCTGCTATGATGTTTAGAGATTGGATGTTAGGGTTGTTTATAGATCTTCATTTTTGGAAAAAATTACAAATGAGTATTTCGATTTGTTTCTGGCAGATAATATCTTTACAGTAACCGCGAAATTGGTTACATTTTGAAAACACTCTGGTGGCTCGAATTAAAAACTATCTTCGGAAATAACCTTATCCTCCCCGTTTTGGCCGCCATGTGGAATATAGGGAATATCTAAATCTCTCCAAAAAGATGTCAAGCAAATCCATAAATGGAAATCAAAAACTCTCTCTGGGTTTTGTGTTTAAACGTTGCATTTGTTGTTATAAAATGCCATATGTATGGTTTTGGCCTTTTGAATATTAAATTTCACTCTAAGATACCATCAGTTACCTATACTGCCTTTTCCTCCTTTTTTAACCATGTTTTGTTGATATTTTCTGTGTATCAAAAATCCGTATATGAGATAAGATGCTTTAACTCAGGTTTTAAAAAACAAATTATTCTTTGCTTTTAAGTCCGTTATGGTATTCTTATATTAATGAGTTATTTACACTCAACACAGTTAGGTTTTTCGTTGTTTTCACAAATCCCTTTCCTATTTATTTTTTATCAAAGACGTGATGATTTTATATATGAAATCATTCAAATGACAACGTTAGGCATTGGAGATTAGATTGCACCATACATTTGTGAGGTAATTGTGTTATGTGCAAAAGTTGTTTATGTATGAAATCCGCAAATTTTGGCTGGTCAAGAATCAATGGAACATGATGATGTAGATAGTTTGTTTTATCCTTTGTGAACAAATAATTGCGGCTCGACAAAGTAGGGCACAGTCTTTCAAACCACAGCTGTGGGGGGTCAACATCCCAGACGGTTGTTCCCCACTGTGGGTATGTGTGTGTTTGAATCTCTGTGCGAGGTTCGTGAAAACCCCGAAAGCGGCTTTAGGGGGGGGGTGTCGTGTGTCAATCCCTTTAATATAGCTGGACTTTTTAAATACATGGGCACCACTATGCGAAATTCGGCTAGCTGTTGATATGAGGTGTGGGTTTTACCATTGATTGGATGAGCAGTCAGTGGCTGACCAGGTTTGAAGGTGTGCGGGACTCGATCTCTCTCTCTCTCTCTCTCTCTCTCTCATCTCTCCTCAAATTCCTGTCATCTAATACCATCTATATACAACACATGCGCATGCTAGAGGCCGTGTGAGTGGAAGGTAGCTAGCTAATTGCATTGATTCTGGTTAATTTAAAAAGGGAAACCCTCTTATCCGTCACTCATGAAGTCAGTGGCAATTATGTTATTCAACGGCGAGCTCTAGGGTCCCTTGATAACCACCAGCTATACTTTTTGGCTGTTTTTAACCGGACCACATCTTTGGTGGCCATGGCTCAACCTTCCTGGTTAATTTGTCGTTAACAACACATCTAGTTCGATAATGCCGACGATTTTTATAATGAATGAGTTGTTTGGATCATCTTTCCCACAAGTGAGGATGACTAAGCTCTAAGTCAAGTGGGTTACAAGGTTTTTGTGAGGATTCCCTGCACAATGGAGACAAACAGTGCAAAGACTGATATTGGCTTTCTAGGGGTCCCTCATCCAATTGAAAAAGAAAAAGAAAAAAAAGAGGACCGAAATATATGAACGAGATTTGACACAGGGAAATTAAAATTTCTTCTGCGAGTCATGGAGGAAGCACTTTGTTCGTTCGTGCGCTTTCTGTCCTTTAGTTTACGTACTCTCTCTGGCCTTGACTTGATGTCAAAACTCTCACTTCATGGAATTAATCTCCGAAACCATAAATCTGACAGAGGCGCAGGCCTGGAGTTTATGAGTCTCCATGTGACACCTACAAAGTCCCCAACTCTCACGTGCTAGCTATTTCTGCATTTCTTTCCAGTGTATCAACTTTTACAGGCCACCACATTTTATATGTTATTTATTCAAAAAGACAGCACGGATTGCTTTTTCCACGGCTTCACTGTGGAAAAGCCAATATGCTCATGTTGGTGTGAATTTTTGACGGCTGGACCAAGAAACTATTGGCATTTTTGCGGCAATATATGATTAGAAGCCGTGCAGGGAGTTACACTGATATCAGATATATAAATACAGAGGGGTTTTGGGATTCAATATTGTAAGATATAATGCGGTATATAATCTGTTATTTAAGTTGGATATGTATTACTCCAACTGAGTTTGGATGTGCACCGTCTAAGGATGCGCATTAATTTTTTTTAATTAGTCTTCTGTTTTTCTATAGTTCATAAGTATGCCCACTTTCAGCATGCGCTTGTGAGGAATATCAAAACTTCTCACCCTGCCTTCAAATTCCTCTTAATAAATTGTAAGCAATATCGATCAAAAATTCTTTTTGGATTATACCAGCTCCTTTTTGCTGCTGTCACTTCATTTTCCGCAATTAAGTGATCAACCCCCCAACTCCATGCCTTGTCTATTGCTTCAATCTCTCTGTCCAACAGATTTTGTTGCCTCTGTTGATCGTCAAATTGCCTCATTCTCCTGGTTGCCATTCCTCATCCTTAAACCCAACCTGTCATCGGATTCCCCCTCTTTGACGTAAACTTCTCTCCACTAGTGTTGTGCCTGTTGTTCGAGATATCAAAAACTTATCCTTTAGGAACGCTTTCAGTTTTTCCACCACAAACCCTTCAAAAGGTTCATTTCGAACATCCGTGTACCCGTATCTTGCAACACACCGAACACATTGAGCTTCTTAGACTCTATTCTCTGGAAAAGAAAGTTCTCTTAAATCGTATATAGCCGCGCGGTTACGATTTATTTATAAACAAATAATAATTTATTAAAAGTGTACAGCCCGTGCGGCTATACTTGTTAAATATGATATATATATGTAAATAGTATAGCCGCGCGGCTATAATATTAGTAAAAAAAAAGGATAATTTATTTAAGAGTACAGCCGCGTGGCTATACGTTTAAAATTTTAAATAATAATTTATTTAATCAATCTATAATGTAGGGGTAAAATGATATGCATATCATATCAGACCAGAAAATGAATAACAAGAATAAGAAATGAAAATGGAGACCTCGGAGGCCTGGCAGTGGTGAGCAGTGAAACTGCGTGACCTCGTGGTCCAAGGAGTCATATCTCGCGCAACTTTTGCCATGAAAGTTTCTTTGCTTTGAGTTCCTGACTCTGATCAGAAACTTGTTGATGATCATGATCTTGGCTTCCCTGATGATCAATGGCGCTTTACGTCTTCTTGAGCCATTTCTGTGTTTGTGTTTGTAGAAATCTGGGATATTTAAGGGCCAATTAAGCAAGAGTTTGCCCACAACTCATACTCTTTTATACAGGCGTATACAAATAAATATTACATGATTCGGTCATTTCAAATATTTTACATTTAGTTAGTCAAATGCTGTAACAAAATTTGATTCTGGAGTTACTCAATATAATCTCCCATTCTTGGGGAAAAAAAACCATACATATATATATAATGACTTTTGGCTAGAATTAAATGATTGGAAATCACCTTCATTCTATACGACATGGATACGTATGTCAGTATTGGATTATTTATCTATTTTCTGAAGCTGTACTCAAACTCGATCATGTATCCACTTTCTTCTTTTTTCTAAAGTTCATAAGTCATGCCCACTTTCAACATGCGTTTGTGAGGAATATCAAACACTTTATCACTCTGTCTCAAATTCCTCTTCAAGAAGTTGTAGGCGTAATCAATTAAAATTCTTTTAACTATACCAGCTCCTTTTGCAGCCGTCACTTCATTTTCCCCAATTAGGTGAACAACCCCCCACCTCCATGCTTTGTCTATGGCTTCAATCTCTTCGTCCAGTAAATCTTGTTGCTTCTCCTTGATCATCAACTTGCTTCACATCCTCCTTGCCATTCTCACCGTCAGCCAGCCCGTCATCGAATTCCTCCTCCTTGATGTCAAACTTCTCCCCATTATTATCGTCCATATTTCTTTGAGATATCCAAAAACTATCCTTTATGAACTCTTTCAATTTCTCCACCAACAACCCTTCAAAGGGTTCATGCTCATTTCGAACATCTGTGTACCCATATCTCGCAACACATCGAAACACATTGAGCTCCTTAGGCTCTACTCTCCGAAAAAGAAATCGCTCTTCCAATGGAACCTTGCTTATAGGCAACGATTTAATGGAGACGAAAACAAGGACCGAGTGCAATGCAGGCACATTTGTTGCATAATGATTGAAGATCGGAGGGATGCCTTGAACAAGCTCCGAATAGAACATGGCGAGGCCAGGCATTCGACAAAAGTTTGCGCTAACAGCAATTTCCTTGAGTTGTTCTGGAGAGATTTTGTGACCAAGCTCGTAATAGTACTTTCTCCGATGCACATCATTCCACACAAACATTATAATCATCAAGACCATGGCAAAGGCGAGGGGAAGATATCCACCTTGGTTGAATTTGTAGAGCACCGAACTTAGATACATTAACTCCACACTTCCAATGACAAGAACATATGAGATGACCAAAAATATGTTGGTTTTCCATATCATTATCATGATTAGCACTAGAAATGACGACGTAGCGTCATTACAAACACCACAGCTATACCTGTGTATAAATAAAATAAAGACATTCATTAATTAGTAAATCAAGTTCAAATTATTGTAATTTAATTTACTTACCGTATGCATTGCCAATCTTTGCAGTGGTTCGGAAACCCAAAGTGACACCAACGCAAGCCAACATGAGAAGGTAGTTGACCTCCGGAATGTAAACTTGTCCTGCGTACCTGGCCGATGTGTGCACAATTTTGACACGAGGGAAACACCCTAATGACAGTGACTGTTGGATTATAGAGAACGTCCCTGAAATCATGGCTTGACTGGCTATGATTGATGCCAATACTGCCGCCACAAACATCGGCCAATACAATGGCCCTGGTATAGACTTGAAGAAGGTATCATAAACAAGATGATGGTGGTTGCGAAGAAAAGAGGCTTGTCCAGTGTATGCCAATATGAGAGCTGGATAAGTAACTGCGCACATACTTATTTGAATGGATCGGACTGTGAAGTGGCCCACGTCAGCAAACAATGCTTCAGTTCCTGCATTTTGTAAAATTAATAAGTCAAACTTAATAGTTATTTCATGTGTCATGTGTAAGGATCAATATTTGGAACGAAGTCTATGGGCCTAAGTGGGTCGATCCAAGTTCGACGGACCAAAGCCCCGTTTGACCCATTTTTAAACTTGTGTAGCGCTTGAGCCAAGAATTTAAAGGCGCCCTGAGCCTGACCCGAGCCCACAAAATTTGAGCCGAGGCACAAACCCCAATCATGTGTTGTTTGACAAGAAGATGTAAATTAGATTGGAACCTGTTATGGCAAGGACAATGCCACCTAGAGAAATCCAAGCGTCTTTTTTGTTCCTCCTGAAGTAATCTACTATGTATTGTGGATTTAGGGCTTTGACCACCGTAGGATCAAACTTGATGAAGTTGTAGACACCAATGCTACCATCAGTGTAAACCAAACACAAATGATTGGTGCAAAAGTGTAGCCCACTTTATCAGTTCCAAATCTTTGAACCATGAAGAGGCAAATCAGGATGGCTATTGATATCCAAACAATCCGATCTGTGTACACATAGCAAAAGTAAATTAAATAATTGACCAAACTATGCAATATTATTATATACAAATGATTAATTAATAAATTCATTCACACAAGATATGTATCAATACATATGTATGCATTAGGACGGCCCAGCCCGACCATAAATTTTCAATCTCAAACCGAATTAGGGCAGGGTCAATTAGGCTTAGCAACTTTTTCGGGCCAAATTGGGGCCGGGTTAAAAAAGTTGGAATTATATATACTGGCAATTCAACAATCTAAAATAACTCTCCATTGTTTGTTTTTGTTTTTGTTTTTTTAGCGGATGATGACCTAAACTTATTTGGAGTCAAAAGAACGTGGGGCCATGTGGGGTACCTTCTGTCATTGCAGATGTAGCTTCTTTGATCCCTCCAACAGCCGACAAAACTGCCATCAATTGGAACAGAAAAAATTAGTGATGGTCAAGTCAAAATAAAATGAAACTCTGAATTTGTCTTATTGCACAATTTTCAACTCAAATGACCATGGAAGTGAAGTGATTAAAAGAAAAGAATTAGAAACCTGAGATGCAGGGAGTGAGAACACCGTCGCCAATGACCATGGAAGTACCAAGCATGGTGGCGAATAATAAGAAGACCTTGGCAAAGGGGCTGTTCTCTAATTTAGATTTAAGCCTTGACGCTCTCTTTAGGCGTTTGCTCGGCAACTCCAGCTCAAAATTTGAGACATCCCGATCCTCTGCTTGTTGACTCGGAGTCAAACCAACCTTGGCATATCGACATAGCAAAGAGTATAGTGCGAACGTCCCTCCTGCCGTATTGAAATTAAATAATTATATTAGAATGCCTATAGTCTATAGATGAGTTCGTCCCTGGTTTGTGCCTCATCGTTGTGTTACTTTAATTCCTAGTTACAGGGTCACAAGATGACACCACGATACATCAAAGTTAGGACTTTTGGTCAGATTAAAAAACATAAAAAAAATGACTAAAAACTTGGGTGGTACTTGAGAGTCGTGACTCGTGCATTTGGGTGGTACCTGTTTAAAATAACTAAAAAAAACTTGTATAAAAGTAGTCGTGACTCGTGCAATATATTTAAATAAAAAATTCAGAACAGCAAGCACAAGAATAATATACAGCTAATTTAAGTGAAATATTATGAATTTATTAAAGGATGTAGCTCGGATGAGATCTTACCGTCGCCATTATCGTTGGCCCGTAAGACGACGAAAACGTACTTAATCAAAGGGATTAAGGTTAGGGTGTAAAGGATCAAAGAAAGAACACCCAAAATGTCGTCATCATGGTTGATGCCTTTGGTAAAGGTGCTTGAATACACGTAGAGAGGTGATGTACCGATGTCCCCATAAACTATTCCAATGCTCTGAAATGCTAGGTGCAGTATCACCGACCACTCCGCACCCTAGAACAAAAACAACCCAAAGGAAAACAAATTATAAGTTATATATACAAACAGACCAGAAAATGAATAACAAGAATAAGAAATAAAAATGGAGACCTTGGAGGCATGGCCATGGTGAGCAGTGAAACTGCGTGACTCGAGGTCCAAGGAGTCGTATCTTCGCAGCTTTTGCCATGAAAGTTTCTTGGATTTGAGCTCCTGATTCTGATGATGATCAGGAACTTCATGATGATCTGTGGCGTTTTCCAGTATCACCTCTTCATCAGGCATTTCTGTGATTCCTAGATGAGCTAGCCAGTTGAAATCTGAGGAGAGAGAGTTGAAATCTCGGGGTGCGTAAGTATGGGGAGCTGTACTACTTCTTCCTATATGTGAGGATATGGAGGGTCATATTTAAAGGCAAGTTAAGCCCACAACTGATCATACTTGTATACTTATACGGGTATGTACTCGTATACTTATACGCGTATGTACACGTACGTCACAAGTTAGAACAAAAAGAATCATGGAAACCAATCCCATGGAGCTAGCAAAACAATAGCTTAGCTAGGACAAGAGCTTGACCTTGTTTTGTGAGATTAATGTGAAGCTTACCTAATTAACGGGATGTCCGAGGCCGAGATGTTGATGGAGATCTTTTTTTATTGCCACATCTGTTTAATAATCAATTATGCCCTTCAGTTTTTTTATAATTATAATACTTGCTATAATATATTCAGAAGTTGTAATTTTACAAGTTAAATGTTCCTAGTCCACTTATGAAATTTCCACTCTATATATTATCAAATTTGGTCTCCTTTTGTTTTGGCCTGGGAGTTTTAGTGCCATATTGCCCAACAAAATATTTATCTAAATTTGAATATACACGTTCATATTTTATATTGGTTGTTTATAACTGGAGAAATTTTTATGTGTTCCAGGTACACTACATTATTGGTCCGATTGATGACATAAAAAAGTTATAAACAAAATTTTATATCTTGGAGTTTACTCATGTACGTGTATTTCAATTAACTTCCTTTTTTTTCTTTTTTTTGGTGGAAAAATAAGAAGAAAAAAGATAGGAGTTTTGGTTAGAATTATTTATAAATAATTGGGAAGAAAATACAAAACCAGAAAAAGAAAAAGAATAAAAATTCAATTGGAATGGCAATGAAGAAGAAATTTCTCATATGAATTGGTACCTAGTCAGATTGGAGGCCGTGACTTTTGATCAAAAGTCAAACTTTGTGACAATCTATACAGGCTTCTTGTACAAATGTAATTAAAACTTAGCATTAGCATGAAAACCAGAATTGGAAAAGTAATTAAACATGACAACCAAAGTTTAGGTTTTGCAGCTAATCAGAAGACGACAGTTGCTGCTTAGTTATAATCGGAGAGCTTAGAGCAAAAGTCATAGTAGTTTTCTAGTAGAAGACGCCACGTGCAATTCGGTCTTCGCCACGTGTGACATGTGTATCTGGTTTAGCCTTTATGCTTTTGGCAGTATCAGAGGAAGGTGACAACTGTTTGACTACATGGCATGCATGGATATGCAGTATGGCACAACCAAAGCTCATAAGTCATAAACCTTCGGCATTGTCAAATAACACTGCATGAATCATGATGAGGAGAGAAAGGGTGCACCGTTCAATGAATTATGAATCTTCCAAATATATATATATATATATATATATATTTATAGCTGGGGGGTTAACTGTCATAACAGGTAATTTGGTATCTGAGCAGTGTTTAAGACACTTTTAAGGTCCAAAATTAATGCATCAACAGTTAGAATCTCATCGCATATGTAGACGACTGTAAAAAGGTATAATTTGAATTTCTTTTACGGCCGCATTTGTATTGTAATTTACATGAGAGCAATTATGCAGTTAACTTTTTGTATTTTTAACTGTTGTGTTGGAGTTTTGTCGATTGGACCACCCAAAAATAATTAACCTTGGTTTATTGTATATTTTAACCTAAATTAGGTATCTGTTATGAGCTGATCATAGAGTATATGTCCTTGCGGCCTCGGTGCTTACCCCATATTCAGATGTGCACCAAACCTAAGGCCAAGGCCATCCCCCTCCCCTCCCTCGGCAATGTTGTGACTTGTGTGGCAGAAAGCCTAATATAGTTGTTTGCTTAGAAAATGTTTTAGCTGCTGAATCCCAGACACCATGTGCAGCCTGCCGTCTGCTGTCTGCTGTGTCATTGCAGAATCAACAACAGCCAACAGCAACTACCAATATATATATATATATATATATATATACCATATCACTTCTGATCAGTCTGTCCAATTGATTCTGCTAACTAATTTATTTTCCATCTGTCCTATTAATAAATTGATTAAATAATATGTTAAGTTAATTACTTTCTAGTTTCTTCTACCAGGTTCTTTGTTGCCCGTTTCCATGCGCCAAAATGAAAGATACGTATAATAATATGCTTGGTTTGTTTAAAAACAATGATTTACCAAAGTTTTCTTCCGTCAGATTTGATAACAGTGATTGCGCTTATTCTAATTAACAAGGCATTCATGCTCTGATTGCATATTAAAAGATTCGGATCATGTTGATGCATATCGCTTCTACTAATAAAGCAAACAAGCCGCGTAAAAACAGTGTTGTTGACCTCTTGGCTCTACCAAATTGTTGTTGTTGTTGTGCATGCATTGTGTTTCAAAAGCACTTACGCATGTCCATCCGAGAATATTCCAAACTCAGAGACAAAAATTTACGCGTGTTGTGGCTGCTTTGCTTTGCTAATTAGACCCTTTAGTCAAAATATATATGCTACAAAAGTATTGTGGACGAATAGACTTTCGAGAAAAATAATAACGTTTGGTTTATGCGATTAGACTTTCGCATAGAAAGGCGAGTGACTCGCGTGTGGGTGACTGCCCTTAGTATTTCTCCCACTCGACCATGGACATCACCCATAGTATTTCTCGTATTCACAAGCGTTTCTTTAGAATGTACGAGATCATATATTGGTATCGTATTTGTAGGGTTGTTGGGTTCCTCGGTTTGTACACTACGGATTTTCCTCTTCCTGCACTAGGACCACTAGCAGTGTTAAGTTGTTGGCTCAACCAAATGGTTGTTGTCAACTTTGTGGTTCAAGGGCACATATGCATGTCCGTGCGAGAATATTCCAACTCAAAGACAAAAACTTCTACGTGTTTTCTGTGGGACATCGAAAACTAGTCACTCAGATGCTACAAAATATTGTGGATCGTCTTGACACCTTTGATAATTAGGTATATGATTTGGGAAAATAATGTATATATTTTGGATTATGCGATTAGAGTTTTCTCATATAAACGGCTACATGATATTGTCAAACATGCAGCTGAGACAACAGAGTTATCCAGTTCACTATCCTATATATCTGTAGCTACAGTTTATATCCCCCATGTTTTAATATCAATTTCTGGGGCTTTATGTCTTAATCATCCTTCATCCTTACAAATTAATGCATCTGTTAATGAGTAAAGAGAATTAGCGATCAATGCAGGCAATAAATTTAGACCTTCATTAGCAGCAGCACATAAGCGTGAGTACATGACCCAGATTTCCTCCAGATTAACAAAATATGCACCGAAGAACTGGGAAAATTAGGTGCATAGTTTAGAGGAATAATTTATACTTACAAAATTGGTCATTCACGAATTTCACTTTGCCTGTTTTACAGGGCCGGCTGATGCAAATGAATGACGCATACAACACCCCAATCTCTACAAAAGGCAATCGTGGTTGTCCTAAGCTAGTCCCTTTCTCAGGACCTTGTCAAAAATTGGATTTTCAACCAAATCTTTAGCTGATGGCCTCCAAACTGGATTTGGGTCCAACATGACCTGAGAGATTTGAGAAAATATAATGCAATCAGAAACGCCATCAAATGGGTACTTTTACAGCCCAAACCAACTAAGAATGATATGATCATAATAGTATCAGAAGCAACTTGACTATATCCAGTAATAGCTTAATATCATGGCAACTGAAACAATGGATGTGGAGAGCCGCAGACAACAGCATTGTTAGTATGATTTCACATGAAAATGTCCTGGCCTTTTCATCTGAAGAGCCTTTTACTAATTGTAGCAAGCAGACATTTCAGGGATCATTTTCTTTCTACCACATTCCCGCTTGCAATTATCAGCAAACCAAATTATAATTTACAATTGAAATGATATTGTACATACAAAGTAATAGGGTAGTTTTCATTATCAAACAAAATTTGATTTCACATTGCAAGATTTTGGAGCAAAGATTTAAAAAAGGAGGAAGTAAATTATTATTTCATGCCAACCACTAACGGAAACAGAAGAAAAGCCAACCACTAACAGAAACAAAAAAAAATTATAGTACCTTGAGTAAGTTCTGAAATTGCAGCGAATGGCCAGGAAGGAGTGGCAATTTTCCCTCCCTAAGATTTAAAATTTGAGGTCTGATTCGGGCAAAGGTGAACCTCTAATTAGCTCATAAATAGCAATTCCCAAGGAGAAAATATCAGCCTTGTCAAGATCATCATATTTCTCATTCAGGATTTCTTGAGGCATATATCGAGCATCACCCTCTTCAATTGGTAGGCTTTTATCAAGTAGAGTTGCACATCCAAAGTCACCAAGCTTATAAACACCATTCTTGACATATATATTATCAGGTTTTACATCTAAGTGAGCTATTCCTTTCCTGTGTATAAACTGCAACGCCTTTGCAATCTGTGTATGTGATTGTATGAGAAGTATATGTCAACAGAAGCAGAAACCTTGTCATGCTAAAAAGAGCACAAATTAATTTGAAAATTTTGGCCTGCCAAATAGGATCTTGACCTCAGATTTATATCAATTCCTAGTTTGTGTGCATGCATGCATGCATGCGTGTCTGTGATTTGAGGATGGACATTCATTAGATTAAAGCCATTCCATCTTGTTTAACATAGCAACATGACATTCCTTCATGAGGAAAACAGAACATCTAAAATTATCAAGGGATTGAAACCAACACCACTACTGCACATCTAAAACAATCAAACATGTTTCAAGGAAAGGACATATATTTCAAATGGTGAAGAAAACAGAACACAAACACAAACACATAAATATTATTAATTTTGCGTAATTAAGAATCATGAGGAATCTAAATTCCCCTGACATAATTGGGTGCACTCTAATACACTAGACAGGAGTATAAGCATATAATATAACGAAAGGGGTAAACAGCTGATTACCGACCTAGCAACCCTGTCTATCATTATTTCTTTTATGTGTAAATGTTCAGAGGCTTCTATAGTGTAGTGAAAACAGCTAACTGCTATGCAATCAATCTAGTAATAGCTTTGATGCTAGAACCTTGTTCAGTTCAACTTTCAAGTGAGACTCTTCTTTTACATGGTTAATGTTCAGATTCAAGTGAGATCTTATTAAAAATCATACAAACCTGAAACAAGGCTTCTAAAATCTCTCCCTCTGTGAAGGTTTGGGAAAACTTGTTGATGGATAAGCTGTGATCGCATAATTCCATTTGAATGTAGAGCTGCTCATTTTCAAACCAAGATGAGTAGTATCCAACAATATTTTCATGGGAACCTAGAGAAGGAAAACCAGTTAAAACAAATAAAAGGAATTGCTATGAGGTCAAAAAGATGAAGCAGAAACACAAACTGAAAACATATATATGTATATATCACGCAAATGTACCTAAAGCTGCCAAAGATTGAACTTCCATCAAAGCCTTTCTCCTGCAAAGGATACAAAGGAATGAATTACACATAAGAAGATAGCTTGACCAAATGGCAGATATACCTAAAGCATGAGTAAGCAACCTTTCTGTGTCCTGATGCAACTGCTTCATGCTACGTTTCACAGCATACAAACAACCATCAATTCTGTTCAAGGCTTTAAAAACATGACTGAAGTACCCACTACCAATTTGCTGGAAAGTGACAGAAAATTACAAACAAGTTAGTCAAGCACAACAATAATAAAAATTTAGAAATAAAAAGCAATGGTTGTGCTTAAGTTCAAATGTTCATAGGATTTGGTAGATACCTCAATCTCATGAAAATCAGCGCAATAGCGTGAAAGGCCATTTCCTCCCATAATTGCAGGGAAGAAAGCTGTACATTGCACCATTATGTAAGCAGAAGTTGAAAATTGAAAATGAAATAAAGGATTTCTGTTAATGTCTTAATACTGAAATAGAATTATATTGGCAGCTGACAGAAGTGTACCGGCACATTTCGATCTTTGGTTGCCAAGAGGATCAATGTCCATTTCTGAAGCATCCTTTAAATATGGATTCTTAAAACATGGAGGAGGCATGACACGACAGCGTAAAGCCACTGCAGATTGAGATACATAATTTTGTGTCTTTCGAACTTCAGTTACTGTTGCTTTCTCTATCTTAGCTTCATCTATGCCAAAAGAATCCGTTCCCAGTTCCACTATCTGCTGATTGCCGGAAAATGTAGGACTCAGAGGATTCATTAAGACATCACCTGCAGAAAGTATGGATTTTTAATTGCAATGCTAATACCCAATCGATTTTCATCAAAGTTTACCCAATAAACAGTGCATAACTTTCTACATTGGAAAAATACAGATAAAAAAGCAAAATCATAGTTGTAGTCTTAGTCTGACCCTGTCTGCGTCTCTTGGATTTAACCGTATTTGACTTCTCTGGTGATTTTGGGCAAGGGATATTTTCCTATACAAGGTAGAAACAAAGCTATTAAAACAACACTTATAAAACGCAGCTCAAATTTACAGAAAGTATAAAATTCAATCCATGGTACCTTATTGCAATCCCAACCGTTCAACGTATGTTGATTATCCGGGGTGATATAATCAGGGGTGCTGCATTAATCGGAACAAAAAAAAAACAATCGAATTTTTCATCAATCATCTGAATCCGAGTACTAAAAAGCTTGAAAATTTATAAATCAAATCAAGGATGCGGGGAAATTTACCAGAAAAAGTCCTGGCTGAGAATGAAATCTCTGTCATCGAAATTGGGGTCAAGGTCAGTACCAAGAGGAGACGATGAGGGAAGGATGGCGTCGGCAGCTCCGGAGTCTAAAAGGTTCTGGAAGCGAGAGGAGTTGGAAGAAGATAATTTTGATGACGTGGGGAACGACAATTGGTGGCTTTCACCTAGCTGAAGCCTTGCTAGTGCTCCCTTCATTTCCCTCCTACTCTTCTTCTTCTTCTTCTTCTTCTTGCTCGTATTTAGGGTTTCGGCCAAATCGACTGTCTCTGTGTCTCCCTTTGGCCCTGTCTGATATATTTAAAAATAGAAACTTGAAGGTGTTTATTGGGCATAAATCACATCAGAAGCAGAAGAGTGAATTTCAAATCGCGCGGGATTGTCGAGGGCAAAATGGATTGGGTGGAGCAGGAACTACCTTACGGTTCTCTAATATTTGATCTTGTCCGTAGATCGGGAGACCCACTCTGGGCAATCGGGTAATTTCGTGGAAGATTTGTGTACGACGTTAGATGGGATTTATTATGTGATGGGTCGCGTACCATGTAAGCCATTCTCGTTATGGAGGGAAATAAGCTTTTTCAAAATTAGTGCGCGCTGCACGAGGGGCAACCTAAAATTATTATATTATTTGATGGGCTAGTGGGCCCAATAAAGTGTAAAGCAATTTTCCCTTTGGCAAAACTAGATTGGGTAATACTCTAAAATTACTCTTAATGATAAATGAAAATTAAAGAAAAAAATATTATAAAAAAACAGACCACATACTCTTTAAATAAATAAATTATATTTAAGCAGTATAGCCAAGCGGCTATAATCTATAATAATATATTTAAATAATATAGCCGCTCGGCTATCATATTTATTTAAAAAATGATAATTTATTTAAATAGTAAGGCCGCGCGGCTATACCCGCTAAATACATTATATGTCAAAAGTATAGCCGCGCCGCAATGCCCCACAAGTGTTTATGATGTGATTCTTAGTAAATTAGGTACCTACAAGATATCAAAAACTTTGGCTGCAATGTATTTGTGATGTAAAGCAGCACCTTTCTGCTGCAGCTTATCTGGGTGTAAACAGAGCAGAGCCCTTTGGTATGCTCTTTTCAGTGAGTTTCCTTCAATTATATCAACAAGAGGTACAGTCTTCCACCCGCTCTCAGGCCAAAGAACCTGCCATGCATTAGTTGCTCAGGAGTTAGTGGCATCTACCTTGTCTTAAGAGAAATATTTAGTCAGTTCCATTCTTAGAGTGGCAACCAAGTTTTTATGCCTTGAAGCATACTATTATTATGCAGTATTAGAGGCTGGTCAAAGAAAACAGAAAAATGACAATACGAGATTTTGACAAATCAATGCTCTCACATATTGCATAGTAGTCAATAACGAGCGTATGTTTCCTTCCTTTCATCATGACCACTGTCATATCTTTGCATCAATCGCCTGCATTTTATGAACTAGTACATTACTGCTAGCAGGATAAAAGACAGAATTGTGACAGCATGCTGTGTCTGTTTGCTTTGTATTTTACCTGGATTTCTTCATGATTTTCGCAAGCTTGTTGCTGTTTCTTCTCATCTTGAGTTATTTCTTTGACCTGCCAACAATGTAATAGCTCATCAGAAAATCTGGTAGGAACTATGACTTTCACAAAAAGTATAACATTGCTCAAATTCAAAATTTAGTTCCTTAATATTATTGTTAGGCATGGCCTGCAGAAACATAATTGGCATGGGAATTCCGAGTTTGTTTACTTCAATAAAAAATACAGAATGGACTGAACGAAACTTCGTTCACGGCAAATGAGTGCACGTTATAAGAATACAAGAAAAGATGAAAACAGTTGTTTTACGGAAGAACCACGTACCGGGAAGCACTCATCTGCATCTCCAGTAATAGCCTTGGGGTCGTGAGGAACTGATCCTGTCAACACTTAATGAATAAGATGTATTTTGTTTTGTCTGCATAGGCTAGCAATCTGTTCAGGCTTAGCTCAGAAATTTCCCCATAATGACTAACGATTTCTAGTGTTGTTGTCTACCACTTCTTCCTCTACTTAAGTGTTTAGCTAAGCCACATTACTTATATAGGATTAAGAGAACTAACCAGTACTTGATGCTGAGACGTCCTGCCCAGGAGCATTACTAAGTACATAGCTAGCAGTCTTTGCGTCACAATATTCTCTCTCACTGTTTGAGATCTTCATTCATCCGGAAAGAAAGAGTAGAAAACAGAACGAGATACTCAGCAAAATGTTGAAGAAAACATATTGTTAGTTTTTGGGTATGTGAACTCAAACCATTCTAACTTGATTACCACGATGGAAGCATTTGGAAATGGGCTTTTCACATTGGACTTTTGCAAGTCCCCCGACATTCTTGCTGCGCTAATACTCGCTTCATACTATTTACATAACGAGTATAGCCGCGCGGCTATACTATTTATTTTTTAAAAATTGTTCAAAGCGTATCGCCGGGCGGCTATACTCGTTATGTAGTATATCCGCGCGGCTATAAGATTTATTAAATAATTAAATAAAACCCGCCTAGCGCCTAAGCGGCTGTCTAGCGATTGGGCGATTTCTGATTTGGCGAAGTGGCAGTTGGAGCTCGATCTTTTCCCTAGTGTAATTCTAAAGGCCTCTTCCCATCTACAAATATACCTTCTTCTACAAATTTGAATTTGTTGATTGGCCTAAAGATGTATAAGCAAACAAAGCATATGCGTTGTTTTGAGACAATTCCAGATTCTGATCAGAGCATTTCCGGTAACTCCCTCATTTCAATTATCGTATTATGCACATATTGTACTTATTGGAATTATTGGATAAGCGTTTTTGGTTCTTCACCTGCGTAGATGTGGAAGAATCTGACCAAGATTGGCCCAACAAACGGCTTACCCTTGACGGGTCCGCCAAGAAAAAGGTTTTCATTTCCATTTTTAATCCTTAATTTTGCTTTAATGTTCTTGATTTATGTGTATGTGCTTGTATCAATGCATCAATGTGTGTGTATCGTTTTATGTAGTTAGAAATTTGATTTCTTAACAGGAGGAATTACCACTTTCATCACGGCTAGAAATGCTCAAAGGTAACATGTTTTTCCAGAACTGGCTGCTAGCGTTGTACTGCCGTAGGCTCTTTGAGCAGAGATAATGTTTGTTTAATTGTTTCTGAAGCCGGTGCGCATGTAGATGCCTGCAACTTGGAGGATGACGTGAGCTCTGGCGATGAGGTATGCATTCAGATATAGACATATCTTATTTATGTATTGTGTGTTAGTGTAGTAGTGTAAGGCGGTAATATGCTTGCAACCTGTTTGTGGAAAAGCGGAACAATGTGCTCTCGAAAATTTATGTTACTGTTGGTGGTAAAAAGTTGCAGAAAGTTGATGTTCATAGCATTGGAAAAGAAGACGGATCATACACATGGTCTGCGGCAAGTAAAGAAGTTGAGGAACTTATGCGTTCGAATGAGAAAAATTCATGTTCATCGTCACATTCTTCTTACTTGAAATTGAATAAGTCATCTAAAGGTATGGTCTCGTGTTTGAGAGGTAATTCTTGATTTTTGGGTTTATTGTCACAATCTGTAGTGTTTTTTTTTAAACTGCAAAATTCAACTGCTGTAGGAGTCAAAGGCAAAGGCAAGCCAAAGTTTTCGTTCCGTTTCCCATCACATAAGGAAGGACACTCTTGGCTTTCTGTATATAAGGATGACAATGATGTTTCATTCAAGGTTCAAGAATTGCCTGAGAGGTTGGATTATAGACCCGAAGAAAATTCAGATGCTGAGCTTCTTGAGGATATTCAGGTTGAGGAGGAAAATCAGTTGGAGATTGTGCCTTTTGAAGTCAATGAACATGGGCATGGCTGTATTGAGCAGTCAATGGCAGAGCTTTTAGATGGCCTTCAGGATAAGACAACTATGGCAAGAGGAAGTTCCAAAATGGTTCTCTGTCTTCTTCAAACATGTTTTTCTCATCCTTCCCTTTACATTTTTTCTCTCCCCTGTTTGATCCAGTGTTTGCTTCAGTATAGTAGAAAAAGATGTAAAAGGGGGCAGCCTGTTGTGAAGAGAGTACCCCCACTTGGAGATAGACTTATCGACAGTGAAAGCTCCCCTGAGCACTTAGGCCCTGAATCACCAAGTGATAGCGAGGTATCTCGTTTTTCTGATTGCTTTATAGGCTATTTCCCGTTCAAATCAGTACTCTATCTAATGTACATGCTTAAACAGGCTGATGATCAAATTTTGAAGCTTGATAAACCGGAGGTGAAGAGGCAAACATTGGTAGATCGATTTCAGGAAGCTTTAAGTGACAGAGCCCTTGTTACAGTGCCTAAAACATTAAGGTACACAGTGTGATCATGTTATACAAGTGCAGTTGATGCTAGTAGAAGTGCTTCTATACTGATTGCTGAATGTGCTTGTATACTGCCAATTTTGTAGAATTGGATTATTTGGGCAACTGCAGCAGGTCATTCAGAGTGAAAAAGAAAGTGATATGGAATTCTTAAAGAATATTGAGAACGGAGCTAACCAAAGTAATAAAGCCTTGCAATTGTTACATTTTTATTTTATTTCTACAAGCATAGAATACTTGGATACGACAAAGAACTTTGTATATGTGGGTTTGTACTTCTAGGCGAAAAGGAAAAAAAATTCTGTAAGATATATCCTGCGGCCTATTGTTCATCTCCCGTTTCATGTTTATATCTCAGAGGAACCAAGCTGCATCGATGTGAAAATTTGTTCGAGACACTTGGATGCAAAGCTGACAGTTTGCCACTGCTCCTTTGGCAATAACTTAAAGGTCATGGTAATGATTATTTCTTAGATGTTCTTCCAGCAGCAAGGTTATGAGTGAATACACGTGCATATTTTCTGATGGCTTTGTTAGAAAGGATGAGTGAAGATGCATATTTGTTTGTGCAGAGCCTCCCACGGTCAGAGAGCCCCAAGCACATGCTGAAAGAAGAAACAACACAGACGGTTATTTTCAATCCAAGAGTTTGCAATGATGTTGACCTTGATGCTGGGAAATGGATCCGTATTCACGCTCCATGGTATGAGACTGAAATTTAAACCTTCGCTAGACTTGGCTTATTCTGCATTACTGTGGGGGTTGGAAATACCACCAGAATTTGATTACTTCTTAGTTGTGTATTATTCTACTACAAATATCATGATTAATGTGAAGTATGATGGATAAAATATGGGCAGGAAGGAGATTCATGTGGGCAATGACAAAAGCATTATCCTATCCACTTATTTCTCCGAGATTTGAATTTGACAAGCTCAGGTTACCAGGATTGGTATGAAATATTTCAGTACAACTTCAAAGTCCACCCAATCCTGTGATGAGCAGGCCTTACATGGGAGGTGGGTTTGAATATCAATTGAAGGTAATCCACAACCTCCATTGGAAAATCTTATTCACGATAAGAACCCTATGCTGCCAGTGCCAGACGGTAATGCTCTGCCTGAACACTGTTACTGCTATCCAAGTGGTGTAGCCAGTGAAGAAGAATGAATTTGTCTTTGAAATGAATGCTGCTTTTTATGGGAGGAGTGCTTGGTGGGTGAATTTTTTTGGTTCAGTTGGTTATGATGGTGGCTATGAGAACGATAAATATTGGTGTCTATGAGAACGATAAATATTGGTGTCTTTTAACATGGATCTCTTCCTCAAAACAGTTTGTCAACTGTTTAACCCAGTTCTAGTTTGATTTGCAATTGCTATGATTGGCTCAGCAGGATTCAGGAAGCAAGGGAACCTGCTTTGGCAACTTAAACTTAATAGCTCCGTTACCAAGCACCATGCGTCTATGCAATCAGATTTTTGTTATTTCTAGCACCATGAACAACGCTGCTTCTTACACATACGTAGTTTCGTTGGGAGCCGTTCCCAATCCGTTTAAGTGTACATAAGTTTAGTGACAGATATACGGCACTTGTAAATTAGGATTAGTTTTTAAAAAATTGGAATACCGCTGGGTTTTTTTCATTTTGCTAGTGTAACTTGTAAGCGTACTTTTTGTTCAAAATTTTGTTAAAACGCATATTTTGGTGGAAATTAAACTCAGAAATTTGATGCCCAAATTTTCACGATTTTTTTTCGCAAGTCATTTAATAAATTCCGTACTTAAGTTGCCAAACAAGGGAATTGTTAATTTCTCATCTTAAATTCCCGACTTTTAGTTAAATTCCGAGTTATTTTCTCTTATCCAAATGAACTATGGCTGTATGGGAATTCTGTTTTTCATTTTGACTTTGGTAGATTTTAATAGAGCTGGTTCATTCATCTAGCATCAAAGTCGTTGTAGTATAGTGGTAAGTATTCCCGCCTGTCACGCGGGTGACCCGGGTTCGATCCCCGGCAACGGCGTTTGTTTTTGACATTTTTTCTTTGGTCGAGCTTTTTTAAATTAACTATGTTTAGACTTGAGAAATTTACTTAGGCCCATGGAGTAATTAATAAATTACTGGAAAAAACGACGAATAGCGGAAGAAGGCGCCCGTTCTATTAATCATCAGGCGTGGTTCGGACGCGAACGACATCCCGCTTTTGTCGTGCACTCCAATCAACGAATAAAATCACCTGCACTTTCTGGATCACAATTCTGAATTTCACTCGAAGCCTAGCACCTCAAGGACGCTATTGTCCTTCGACCCAAAAAAAATAAAAGGACACTATTGTCTCTTTCTTCTCCCTAAATTCACCAATAATTTCCTGTCCTTTCTCCAATTCTGTGCGCAAACCCGAAAAGGAGCAAACAGTAAATTGAGCACTCTACTATCTCGTGGCTCCTGATATCAAATCAACCCTCAAAAATTCCTTCCAGATCCTCCTCCAATGGCGACCCTTTCTGCCTTTGCACCGCCCTCGTGGCCTGACCCCAACTCCAACGCCACTTTCCTGTCCGAAGCCATCGACGACACCTCGAGTGTCGCCGATTCGTCGATGACAGCCGACGACCACGCCCCCCAATCACCCCCGGACCCTAACCCTAATGTCCACAGCAACCCCTTCTCCGTACCCCAAGAGCTGCCAACCCCTCCTGCGTCACGCTCGCCTCCGTCGCTGTTTCACCTGTCCTTCAACCAGGACCACGCCTGCTTCGCCGCGGGTACGGACCACGGCTTCCGGATCTACAACTGTGATCCATTCCGCGAGCTCTTTCGCCGGGACTTCGACAACGGCGGCGGAATCGGCGTCGTTGAGATGCTCTTCCGCTGCAACATCTTGGCCATAGTCGGCGGTGGGCCGGACCCTCAGTACCCCACCAACAAAGTCATGATCTGGGACGACCACCAGGGCCGGTGCATCGGCGAGCTCTCCTTTCGCTCCGTTGTCCGGTCCGTACGGCTCCGCAGGGACCGAATCGTCGTCGTTTTGGAGCAGAAGATTTACGTGTACAACTTCGCCGACCTAAAGCTGCTGCACCAGATTGAGACGATCGCGAACCCCAAAGGGCTCTGCGCTGTGTCGCAAGTGGCCGGGTCACTGGTGCTGGTGTGCCCTGGCTTGCAGAAAGGGCAGGTCAGGGTTGAGCATTACGGGTCTAAGAGGACCAAGTTCATCATGGCTCACGATTCCAGGCTTGCGTGCTTTGCGCTCACACCCGACGGCCAGTTGCTCGCCACCTCCAGCAACAAAGGGACTCTTGTTCGGATTTTTAATACGCTTGATGGAACTTTGCTTCAAGAGGTATATTTTTTATGTTCAAATTATGATGAAAATTTCTGAATTTTGTTATTGGATCATTTTAGATTGGTATGGCATGTCAAATGTTGATATTGGTCGTCATTCGATGCAATGTGTTCTATAGTTGAGCTTCAAGTTCTTGAATTTTGGGGCATCTTATAATAGAGAGGCTTGGGTTTGCTGAAATTGAAAGCCTTGTAGTATCGATAAGCACTTGTAAGTTGCAGATTATTGTTCATGGGCATGGTGATTAATATTTCAGTTTATATGGGAATGGGATGAGTACATTGCGAGGAAGTTTCCTCTACCATTAACAGGGTCTGTGCTAATATTTACTTGATTCATTATTTATGATACATTTTGTAAGCACTTTATAAAACTTAGTTGGTTCAGGGATCTAGATCAGACATGCATTATTACGAAGTCATGTCGCAGGCATGACCTTGTAAGCATGCACACACATGTATGCGTAAACCTATTAAGCAATTAGAAGTAAGTTTGCCATCAATTGGTCCTGGTAAGAAAAGAACAACAACCCCTTTTGTCCCACCACAGCCAAGTCGAAAACAAATCTTAAACATGATTTTGTTTAAGGGATCCTTATGTTTGAATGACATGGTGTGAGCTGTAAGTTGTAAGTTGAATGACATCGGAAAGTTTTTTTTCTCCAGTTATGTTCTTGTTTTTTCTAAACTTTGAAGAGGGTGCATCCCTACTCCCTTGGAAATCTGAAATGGTGTTGATGTATGATTACAGATTCAAATTTTTATTTATTTATGAATTCGAGTTAATTGGATGCAAATGCAGGTAAGGAGGGGTGCGGACAGAGCAGAAATCTATAGTTTGGCATTCTCTTCAACTGCTCAGTGGCTAGCAGTCTCTAGTGACAAGGGAACTGTCCATGTTTTCAACCTTAAGGTGAATTCTGGGTCCTCTGGAAATGAGAATTCACGAACTGCATCTGATCCTAATCTTGCTGTTTCATCATCAAACTCCTCTCTTTCTTTCATCAGAGGTAAACTCCCCACTCTCAATATTTGAATTTTTCTGATCTGTTTTCTGTCAGCACTTTTTGAACATTCTACGTAGTTGACAAATTGGTCATATTGGGGATTTCCAATACCATATGCTGAAATACTAGTGAATTTTGAATACCAATAAAGAATAGAGTGCAGTGCATTGTTACTGCGGCACTATAAGATGTCTTAAACCTAAATTTAAGAGCAAGATGAAGTTTATGTGGTTGCGTAAAAGAATTCCTGAGATACCTTTTCTTGCAAAGTCAGATCATTTTGTTGAAAATAATTGTTAGAAATAAGGTACGATCTGATTATCTGAGTGGATGAAGTCTGCTTTTCCTGTGTTTCCTCTCCCTAATTTGTAATACCAAGTGGTACACCGGCAAAGGACATATCATGTTTTTTTTTCTCTGAGGTGAATGGATCTGAGTCTGGTTTTGCTTGCAGGGGTGTTGCCTAAGTATTTTAGCTCAGAGTGGTCTGTGGCTCAGTTTCGCTTGCTTGAGGGCTCTCAATACATTGTTGCTTTTGGTCACCAGAAGAATACAGTGGTAATTCTTGGCATGGATGGAAGGTAAGAAAATAAATTTTAGTCATGTGATGAGTTTGGAATTGAAACTTTGTTATGAAATTTGAATTTGGATGCAGCTTCTATCGATGTGAGTTTGACCCAGTGAATGGAGGAGAGATGACCCAGCTGGAATATCACAACTTTCTAAAGCCAGAAGAAGCCTTTTGAAGTGATATACATATATATTATATATATTGTACTTTCCATCGTTCCTATCCTACCTACAGTGTTCTAAGTACTGATTGGTCTTCTGCTTTGTTTTTCTCCCCAGTTTTAGCATATGGGTAAATTATGTTGTAAATACATGAGCATGTAAATTTGTAAATTTCTGAGTGATGTACCAACAGTGACTTTAAGAAAAGAAAAGGAAAAAAAAAACTAACTTATGAAGAATATGCTTTGTACTGCTTTTTTATATATCTGTGAATGAAAAGTGTTAATTTTCCCAAATCTGTGGGTTTATGGTGCTAATGGTATGGGCTTTGAGTTTGCTGGCAGCATGCGAGCCTATGAAATTGGCAGACATCATGTGAGAAGTTGGTGTAGGACAACATCCCATGTTTCTCTTTTGATCCCGTGTGAACTTATTGTTATTTTTAATGTCCGCGGCCTGCAGCATGCAGCATCAATCAACCCTAACTCTGAAGTAACTTCTTCCTTCTCTTGTCCATTACCATTTGTGTGGGAAATTGCAATTGACCGCTGCTGATGGCCACAGAATGGACTTGTCTTGTGTAGCTCTGATTAAAAATGGACTTGGAGTTTGTGTGATGTTTAAAAATGAGAGCAAATCTCAAGATGCAGGTTGCCGATCATTTTAAATTCACTGCACTGAAATCTTCGTTTGACTGGACAATATTTCATATGCTACACTCTTCATTTCATACAACATTAAATTATACAAAGAACAGTATATGCCCCCGATAATTATTGTCTTAAGCATCTGCATCCCATCTGAATGGTGGTAGGGATTCTATAACAAGAGCATGTGTTGAGGGGTTCAATCCAACCGTTTAATGTGGAGGAGTTCATTAATCAACGGTTATAAAGAATCTCCTTGTGATAACCCTTAACATAGCCCTTCGTTATAGTTATAGTTGTTGTGACATGAAAATTATACATTGCTTTGGGCCTTTGCATAGATTGATTTGAATACACAAAAGTATTCATTATTTTAAAGGGAAGATTTAAAAATGCTATTATAGCAGGCAGGCAGATCATTGCATCGGGGCTTACATTCAGTCACGTGAAATCCAATCGAATATAACACAAACATCAGTTAATCAACTGTGGTTGCAATTTTTTTATTTGCAGCAGTACAAGTCGAAATGGTCATGACAGACAGAGAGTATCACAAGGCCGAAGGCCAAGTTATTTATAAGGAGGACCCTGGTTTGCTATCTGTTCTCTCATCAACATATCCATAGACATAGAGCTATTAATTTGTAGGACTCTCTGCTCTTGCTCTGCTACTCTAAAAATGGTGCTCAAGCTGCATGGATTTCCTGTATCTCCCTGCACGGCTCGCGTAGAGGCTTGTCTCCATGAAAAAACTCTCGAATTCGAGTTCGTCCCGGTTAATATTTTGGGCCTTGAAAACAAGCAGCCTTCTTTTCTTGCCAAGAATGTAAAATTTCATTTCCATATTTCATTTCCATTAAATTACAAAAACTTGATAAATTTTTAATTTTATGCATATGTTTATCTTTATAAGCTTATTGTGGTTGGTCATACAACAGCAAAATGTCTGATGATATATTTTTCTCGCCATCTTGTAGCCCTTTGGCCAGATTCCAGCATTTGAAGATGGCGACGTCACACTTTTTGGTAAGTGCTCTCACAAAATCTTCACATATAAATATATAACAATATGATATATATTCTAAGTTTCATTTTTACAACACCAGAGTCCAGAGCAATCACAGCATATGTAGCTGAAAAATTCAAGGAAACTGGATATGATCTCATTAGGCACGAAAACTTGAAAGAAGGTGCATTGGTGAAGGTATGGATAGAAGTGGAATCTCAACAATACCACCCAGCAATCTGCCCCATTGTGTATGAGTTTTTCGGGAAGCCTGTGGTGGGCTGTAAGCCCGATCAAACAGTAATCGATGTGAGCTTAGAGAAGCTCGAGAAGGTGCTCGACGTGTACGAGACCAGGCTGAGCAGCAACAAGTACCTTGCTGGTGATTTCTATAGCCTAGCTGACCTTCACCACTTCGCTTACACTTTTTATTTCATGAAGACTCCTTGGTCTTCATTGATAAACGATCGTCCCCATGTTAAGGCATGGTGGGAGGACATTTCAGCTAGGCCTGCCTCTGTCAAAGTGGCTGAGGGCATGAATTTTGGTGAAGTTGAAATTAAATGAGTGCTTCTTCTATCTATGTATCTGTCTGGTGTGTTTTGGATATGGAACAACTTATCCCCATTTATTGTAGCAGAATAATTTAATACAAAATGTTGTTGTGTGCTCTGTTTCTTTCCTGCTACTGCTAACATATTCAGAACATTATAGAAAATCTGTAGAATTAATCGTGATTAAGGAGTTCTCATTGAAATTTAAAAGAAACAAAAGTACTGCATTGCCAAGTGCTTTCTTCAACCCTTTGCTAGCTAAGATAACATCTCTCCTGGGTCTTGGCCAACTTGTATATCAGCTTTGGACCCCTCCATAGATTTCTCATGGCATGGGACCTCGATAGATTTGTCATTTTCACCCACGGTCCACCTAACAAATTTATCACTTGCTGTCTTCTCTGTTATAAGTCTCCATCTAGAGAGGGCCTTGCTCGATGAAATATTTCAAAGAGGCTGAGATAGCAGCTAATGCTGATGATATTTTTACGTCCCCACAAGAGAAAAACAGTTTTCTTACCTATACCTTAAAAAGTTCCAGAAGCTGTATATCCAAAAGTTGCCCAGACTCTCTACCACTCTCCAAGATGGCTCAGGACCCCTCTACCACTGTTCAAGATGGCTCAGGACTCTTCTTCTTCCTCATCTGATCAGCTGCCCTCTTTATGACTCAGGACTCTTCTTCTTCCTCATCTGTAACTGATTGTAGGTATCAATGATTCTTTTTTATTAATGCCCACTATGTAGATATCAGTGATTGTACAATTACTATATAAATCAATATACAACAGTCCACTATGTATGTGAGGCTTTTACTCATTTTCCAACGCTCTTTCATTCCAAAGGAGCATGGAAGAAATCCCAAACACCCCTGCAAACCCCACTGCAGAGAGGTTACAAAAATACTGTTTAGAAGAAGATTGAAGAACAAGTTGAACACCCTACAAAGCCCATTGCAGAGGTTACTGAAAACCGAGCGGCTATACCCCATTTATTTTTTTAAAAAGGATAATTTATTTAAATAGTACGGCCGATCGGCTATACTCGTTAAATATAACGGCTATACTCTTTAAATATAATAATATATGCAAATAGTATAGCCGGTCAGCGATACTATTTATTTAAAAAATAGATAATTTTATTTAAAGAGTACAGCCGCGCGGCTATAATATTTATTTAAAAAATATATAATTTTATTTAAAGAGTATAGCCGTGCGGCTATACTATTTAGACTCTTTAAATATAATATAATACATTTAATAGTATTGCCGCGCGGCTATACTATTTATACTCTTTAAATAAAATATTATATTTTAATAGTATATCCGCACGGTGATACTATTTATTTAAAAAATATTTATTTAAAGAGTATAGCAGTGCGGCGATACCCGTTTAGTAGTTCACCTCCGCGTCCGCCGATCTCACCCACCTTCCAAATTTGCGTTATCTGAAATATGTAAGTATATTGGGTGGCGCTGGCTGTCTGGCATGGGAATTGCAATGCAATGCAACAGCCGTTTGGTCAGGTTCCAGTTTTACTGTATAATACTAAAAACGATTTAATGATAATAAAACCCAATATTACTTACTTACTATATAATTATCAGGGTTAATTAGTGTATTAATATTGTAGAGTCGAGAGCGGTTATGAGATTTATATCGCATGATGAGTATGAGGCGGCTGTTTGACCAGCACCCACGTTGGTGCACTTCCATACTTAATCACCCTGCTTGGCTTAAGGTGGTGCAGATGATCGATCGCACCAAATAAACCCGTGATTGATTATATCTCCAAAATTTTAGGGATCATCCTGTAATTAAATAATTAATAAAAATGTTATAACTTATATATGTTATTTATTTGCTCTCTTTAATAATTTTAATTCTTAATGTTTGGATTAACTAAGGGCATTTTCTGGTATTTTGAATGTTTCACAATTCTTTACCTTTTGCTTTATATATATATATATATATATATATATATTAAAGATGGGTCAAATATCAGACATTTTTTTGCCTTTTAATTACTTGTACTTTTATATGATCTCAATTGTCATCAGCTTGTTTTTGTTGTTGTGAAGAAACGGGGCTAACGTGTAATGAGCCGTTACAGATTCCAAGTAAATCTTCATTAAGAAAAGACCTAATACTATCAGGACGATCATGAAGGTTGATAGACCCAACTTGGGAGTTTAATATTTAATTTTTCAATAACATCAAGTTATTAGACCAACGTTTGAACACCAAGTGAAATTATGTGACAGTTTCTTATTTTCCATACCCTCTATTGTTTGGCTGAAGGATTACTCCTCATTCATCTATGATCTATCCTCTTCTCTTGTAGACTGTCTCTGATTTCATCAGATATATCTGATAAGTGTGATTAAATTCTTCCAATTCTACATTCAAAGAAATAACCAAAGTTGTGTTATGATTGCAATATCACTAAGCTACCGGGCCACATTGTAATCTCATTAAGCCCAAATATATGTTCCAGATTCAGACAAGATCCACACCCACCAAGTAACTGCGCGGGGGTTTGCATATGCACCCATGTCATGTCGCACGCACAGCACACCCTTCCAGTCTTCTAAAAAGGCAGATGCAATTATTCAAGTCAAACACGACTTGGTAAAGTATTTCGCAATTATTTACAGAAATATAAAAATAAATAATTGAAAATGACACTAGGAGAGTCATCGACTACGTATTCAGCTTGCACAGAAAGCCACATGTTTTCACAAAGGCATTGATCAATGATCCCTCCCTCCTCCTACCTTATAAATATATCATTAGGCCTGCCATATCATAAGGTCCAAATCACAACACATCTTTTGCTCAATTTCTTACTTGTTCCAAATCATAACACAGTCATGGCCACCATCAAAGTCTATGGAAACACCGTTTCCACTGCTGCAATGCGAGTTTTTGCTGCCCTTTATGAGAAAGACATCGAGTTCGACTTTGTTCCGGTTGACATGAGAGCTGGGGAACATAAAAAGGAGCCCATCATTTCCCTCAACGTAAGTATCACAATGACTTCGAAATTGAATTTGATAGACTAGAATTTTCATGTTTCCAGTCAATCTCACATTTCTGTGCTTGCTTTTGGTGCAGCCATTTGGTCAAATTCCAGCTTTTGAAGATGGAGATCTTAAGCTCTTTGGTAAGTTTTTGTGTTTAGCTCGCTCACATCAAATTCATACACAGCATACATGAAATATGAATTTGTGTAACTTGTATTAAAGTGTGCACCTTCTGATATGTGCAGAATCAAGGGCAATTACACAATACATTGCCCACGAGTATTTCGACAAGGGAACCCAGCTGGTGATCCGAGACTCCAAGAAGATGGCAATTCTATCAGTGTGGACGGAGGTGGAGGGTCAAAAGTTCGACCCAGCAGCCTCAAAACTAACCTGGGAGCTAGGCATAAAGCCGCTGCTTGGCATGCCCACAGACTCGGCAGTTGTGGAGGAATATGAAGCCAAGTTGGCTGCGGTTCTCGATGTTTATGAGGCTCGTCTGGCGCAGTCGAAATACTTGGGAGGTGACAGCTTCACCTTGGCAGATCTTCACCACCTTCCAACCATACATTACTTGATCGGGACACAATCTAAGAAGCTGTTCGAATCCCGTCCCCATGTTAGCGCATGGGTAGCTAATATCACTGCAAGGCCGGCTTGGAATAAGGTCATTGCCATGCGAAGCTAGTTAGTAAAAGACTGCTCTTGCTGGCTACTCAACAGTCATGTATCTTCAATAATTCCATGCATTTTGGCTTTATATATGCCTTTGATTTTCTTTTTCCATAAATGGTTGGACAAAACTCTTCTGCTGCTGCTGCTGATGTTGTGGTAGTTGTCTTCCAACCTCAATATGAAGATTGATGCCTTATGCATTTGCTTTAACAATCTGTTTTTGGTGTTTGAAGTTTGTGTTTTCCTATCCAGTAGCTGATCTCAACTGTCTTCATCTAAAATTCAAAAAAAATAACCAACCTGCAAGCAGAGTATTCACCATCCAATAAACTTGATGCAGTCAGTGAAATGAAACAACCCAACCCAATTCAATAATAGAACAGAACCAACCCCCACTAAAAGAATTGCAAATACAATGTGACTTAATTGTGCTAACAGTTGAGTAACTTGGTCAGAGGGTTCAAATTCCACAGAACTACAGCCCAAGTCTTTCTGTTTCATCATCCCCCTCACTTTCTCAACATCATTCCATCTTCCCATCTCTGCATAAATATTAGACAGCAGAACATAGTAAGCACTATTCCCTGGCTCTAGTTCAACAAGCTTCCGAGCTGCAAACTCGCTCAATTCCAAGTTCCGAGCTGCAAACTCGCTCGATTCTGGTGCTAAGCGTGTTATTGCACAATAAAAACTGTTGCCAAGCGTGCCCTCTCACTCAAAAATAACCGTTATCTTTTGTAATTTAGACTATTATTTGTCCTAAAAAACTATTAAGGAGAATTTAGTCAATTAAGTATTCATACAAGCATATGTATCATGTATGCATGAACCAACACAAGATCGGTTAAAACTGGGAGTGAAATTCCCAAGACTTTTTAACAAAAAATAAATATAAAAAAGTCTCTAAAGTAAATCTTCAAAATCAAAATTCTAAATTAGGCCCACTAGAATTTTGAGTGAGAGGGCACGCTTGGCAACAGTTTTTATTGTGCAATAACACGCTTAGCACCGTCCAAAGTGTTCTTGAGTAACATTGCAACAGTCATTGGGCCGACACCTCCAGGCACAGGAGTTACCCATCCAGCAACCTTACATGCTTCCTGGAAATCAACATCTCCCACCAATCTATAGCCTGACTTTCTACTCGAGTCATCTATTGCATTTGTGCCGACATCGATGACTGCAGCACCTGGTTTTATCCAACTACCCTTGATCTGAAATTCAATAGATACACTGATTAACAAAAATTTAAATAGATTTTTCATCGATTTAAAACATATAGGACAGACAGAAATGATGTTTGCTCCACTAACAGATTTCATGTCAGTCATTTCATCGAAGCAATGATACAACTTAGTGAAGAGACGCATTGCCTTACAACTTCGCAGTAAAAACGATGGAAGTACCAGGGCCCAAGAATTTCCTTTTTCCTTCACGTGGGATGAATGGGACGAAACAACCAAGTACACCTATTCTCTTAGTTGCATTTCAGTTTTCTTGTGTAAGCTAAGCATATAGAAAGGTGTTTGAAGTATTTAACTATGTACAAGTTGTGTATACTGAAAAATATGGAGCTGTTAGTATATGGCATCTACTGTTCTGTGCTAGTATTCATGGGTGAACTACCTTGGTCTTCAGCACTATTTTTAACTAGAAATCTGATGCAAAGCCAAATAAATATTAAACGAGATAAAACATGTATGTCATAAGACAATGTTACTCCATATCAAGGAACAACAATCTGTGAACTACCTACCATCATTGCCTGCCCTGCTGCAGCAATAATAATGTCCGCTTCACGAATGATACTCTCCGGATCATGAGAATGAGAATGGACTACGGTAACTGTAGCATCTGCTTTCAAAAGCAGTAATGAAACCGGCAATCCAACTATGTTACTTCTGCCCACCACCACTGCCTTCTTTCCCTTTATGCTTATGCCACTCCGTGACAGAAGTTCCAGACAGCCCTGCAGAGAAAACCATCTCATAAAACAAAACCGCTAAATGCCACATGAAAGCCTCTCACAGCTCCATATATGTGTGTGCGTCTGCATCTATCTGTGTTTGATTTGAATACATAACTCAATTGTCTTGCCTTGGGAGTGCAAGGAAGGAATATAGGTTCTCTGCCTTTCATTGCAAGCTTGCCAATGTTGAGAGGATGAAAGCCATCGACATCCTTGTCAATGCTGATTTCACTTAACACTTTCTCCTCATTATATGCTTTGGCAACGGAAGCTGAACTAGTATACCTGCCAACAAAATAAAACATACTTTCACGACTAACAAATGAAAATATAGCACTGGTTTCACTAAGCTTGAATGAAAAAAAAATTGGTAATTAACAAGTGAGCCACCATCATTCAAGTAACCAACCATGTACATCGGGATTGGCGTTTAATTCATGAACTTTGGCAATGAGGTCAACTTGGGACACATCCTCATGGAGGTCAATGTCCAAGGATAGAATGCCAACTTCAGCACATGCCTTTCGCTTCATGCTCACATAGCTTTGGGAGTCCTTTCTGTTCCCTACTATCACTACTGCCAGTCCCGGAACCTAAATCATTGCATAATTGCATTGTCAAAATCCATCCACTAAGTAATTACAAAATTAAGTTGAGATAGAGCAGACCTTGCCATATTTCTGGGACAGATGGCGGACTTCCTCAGCAATTTCGTTTCGGATGGTCTGCGCTATGGCTTTGCCATCGATTATCGCAGCCTTGTGATCTGATTGTGATGCCATTGATCAACCACTCACTCAGTCTTGAAGAGATGAGGGTTTCTGATGAGGAGGAGCTCCAACCTCAATGTGTTACTGTAATCCACTAAAACAAATTATTCACAAATGATTCCAATTTCCAATTGCTACTTGATTCCAGATTTATATTATCACAAATGAATGGCAAACTAATTATGGAACAGATCAAATCCCAAGCTGCTAGCCTTGGAAAGCCATTCTCTTAAACAAAACTAATCGAAAAAGGAGAAGCTAAAAGCATCCGCATAGATTTTCTCTTACCTTTGCCGATTCACGGAGTTATTGGTTGGTGGGGGCTGTCGTTGCCGTTGAGTAGTAGCTACGGTTATGAGAGAGAAAAGTGTGTGTGTGTGTGTGTGTGTGTGTGTGTGTGAGAGAGAGTCTGAGAGAAGGGTAAGGGTCACTTTGGGATTTTTCACACTTCATTTTTTTCCTTCTTATTTTCACAAAATTCTTTAGATTTTGAAAATTACATTAATACTCCAAATGACAAAATTAACTTGAAAGATGTTTTACCAAAATTTATCTCGCATTTTGTGGCGTGTATCTGGATTAACCCTATGTGGTTACTATGCTTTCATATTTGTATTCCCTAGGGTTGGCATTTCCGGAGTATCCAGGACTCCGTTTTACGATTCGTCGAATCCTACACGATCCTACGGGTATCTAGAGTAACATACTTCAATTTGAAAACGATCCAACGGTCGGAACATATCGAACCCGGATAACGCACAATATGCAATAATCTGTTCGATAGTCAGACGACCTCGGAATCGAGATCCGCGAAATCCTACGGGCTCGTGACAACTTAAAGATTACATTGGAACAGTTTGCAGCTCCACCACACTTGCCCACGCGCCGCCACACGCGCCGGCAGCAAGCGGGTGTGCAGAGAAATTCCGGCGACGGAAAATCTCCAAATCATAAGTCACCCTCCCGGCTACAGGTCCTACTCAACTAGGGGAGCACTTCATTCAACTACGGCCAAGCCCAAAACCACCGGGAACTGGCCGGAATTTCGAATTGAAAACCGGCCAAAAACCTAATTCGAAAATAACTTCCAAAACCTCAAAATCGTTTCAATCCTAAGCAACAGGCAGCTAGAACAGATAAAAAGAAGGAGGATTCTCACCTTTAACGCCGGAAAAGGACGACTGAAACGGTGGTGCAACAATCGGAAAACCCCCGATTTGAACCAGTCGATACTGCCGACTATTCTCGAGTTTTCCGGCGACGAAAACTAGTGGGTCTTGTCCAGGACGTCAAGACGAAGCTTTTGGGACCAATCTCGAGAGCTGAGGTGGTCGGAAGTGATGGCGGCGTGGATTTTTCCGTTCGGATGAACAGTGACGAGAGAGAGTTCGCGGGAAAGAGAGAGAGAACGCACGGGAGAGAGAGAATGAGAAAGTGAAATGAAATCGAATTATTTACGATTTTGCCACCGAAAGAAATTTCATCGCCAAAACTTCGTTATAACTCCGATTCAAGCCTACCGCCTATCTACGAATTCATCTCAGAACCACCTACGCAACCAAACCACTTGTGGTCCCAAAATCCTTCCGGACAAGAAAATGACCGAAATACCCTACCCCAAGGGTAGTTTCGTAATTTCACAGTTAATTTAATTTTAACCTTTTGAATTGGAAAATTAAATAGAGTCGGGGTGTTACACTAATGGTCGTTGTGCCCAATTTATGAATACAATTATCGCTTTTCTCTAAAAATAAAAATAAAAACTTGAAAGATTAATTGCAATCCACACCCTATCGAAAACCCCTTATGTACTTCTCTATTCAAATTCTTTGATTTTCATATTGTAAAATTCGATTTTCAAACTAAAATGTTTGGTTTGATATTGATCTATTTATTTATTTTATCATACCAAGTGGCCGCGAGGCTATACTATTTATTTTTAAAAGATTTATTCAAAGAGTATAGCCGTGCGGCTATACCCGTTTAGTAGTTCACCTCCGCGTCCGCCAATCTCACCCACCTTCCAAATTTGCGTTATCTGAAATATGTAAATATATTGGGTGGCGCTGGCTGTCTAGCATGGGAATTGCAATGCAATGCAACAGCCGTTTTGTCAGGTTCCAGTTTTACAGGATAATACTAAAAACGATTTAATGATAATAAAACCCAATATTACTTACTTACTATATAATTATTAGGGTTAATTTGTGTATTAATATTTCAGAGTCGAGAGCGATTATGAGATTTATATCGCATGATGAGTATGAGGCGGCTGTTTGACCAGCACCCACGTTGGTGCACTTCCATACTCAATCGCCCTGCTTGGCTGAAGGTGGTGCAGACAATCGATCGCATCCAAATAAACCCGTGATTGATTATATCTCCAAAATTTTAGGGATCATCCTATAATTAAATAATTAATAAAAATGTTATAACTTATATATGTTATTGATTTGCTCTCTTTAATTACATTAAAGATGGGTCAAATATCTGCCATTTTTTTGCCTTTTAAGTACTTGTACTTTTATATGATCTCAATTGTCATCCATTTGTTTTTGTTGTTGTGAAAAAACGGGGTTAACGTGTAATAAAGCCTTACAGATTCCAAGTAAATCTTCACTAAAAAAAGACCTAATACTATCAAGACGATCATGGAAGGTTGATAGACCCAACTCAACTTTGGGAGTTTAATATTTCATTTTTCAATAACATCAAGTTATTAGACCAACGTTTAAACACCAAGTGAAATTATGTGACAGTTTCTTATTTTTCATACCCTCTATTGTTTGGCTGAAGGATTACTCCTCGTTCATCTATGATCTATCCTCTTCTCTTGTAGACTGTTTCTCTGATTTCATCAGATATATCTGATGAGTTTCCAATTCTACATTCAAAGAAATAACCAAAGTTGTGTTATCATTGTAATATCATTAAGCCACCGGGCTACATTGTAATCTCATTAAGCCCAAATATATGTTTCAGATTCAGACGGTCCTCCTGGCCAAGCCCAAACTTAGTTACCTGAAGACGTGTGTTTTTGTTTTTATTTTTATTTTTATATTTCTGTAAATAATTGCGAAATAGTTTACCAAGTCGTGTTTGACTGGAATAATTGCATTTGCCCTTTTAGAAAACTGGAGGGTTGTGCTGTGCGTGTGACATGACATGGGTGCATATGCAAACACCCGCGCGGTTGGTGTGTGTGTGGTTCTTGGAGAGTTTGGCCAAAAGTTTGTCAAACGAAATCCACAAATATATATTATTAATATTCTTGAAGAGCCACCGCAAAAATAATAATTGAAAATGACACTAAGAGAGTCATCGACTGCGCATTCAGCTTGCACAGAAAGCCACATGTTTTCACAAAGGCATTGATCAATGATCCCTCCCTCCGCCTACCATATAAAGATATCATTAGGCCTGCCATATCATTAGGTCCAAATCACAACACATCTTTTGCTAAATTGCTTACTTGTTCCGAATCATAACACAGTCATGGCTACCATCAAAGTCTATGGAAACACCATTTCCGCTGCTGCAATGCGAGTTTTTGCTGCCCTTTATGAGAAAGACATCGAGTTCGACTTTGTTCCGGTTGACATGAGAGCTGGGGAACATAAAAAGGAGCCCGTCATTTCCCTCAACGTAAGTATATCACAATGACTTCGAATTTTAATTTGATAGACTAGAATTTTCATGTTTCCAGTCAATCTCACATTTCTGTGCTTGCTTTTGGTGCAGCCATTTGGTCAAATTCCAGCTTTTGAAGATGGAGATCTTAAGCTCTTTGGTAAGTTTTTGTGTTTAGCTCGCTCGCATCAAATTCATACACAGCGTACATGAAATATGAATTTGTGTAACTTGTATTAAAGTGTGCACCTTCTGATATGTGCAGAATCAAGGGCAATTACACAATACATTGCCCACGAGTATTTCGACAAGGGAACCCAGCTGGTGATCCGAGACTCAAAGAAGATGGCAATTCTATCAGTGTGGACGGAGGTGGAGGGTCAAAAGTTCGACCCAGCAGCCTCAAAACTGACCTGGGAGCTAGGCATAAAGCCGCTGTTTGGCATGCCCACAGACTCGGCAGTTGTGGAGGAATATGAAGCCAAGTTGGCTGCGGTTCTTGATGTTTATGAGGCTCGTCTGGCTCAGTCGAAATACTTGGGAGGTGACAGCTTCACCTTGGCAGATCTTCACCACCTTCCAACCATAAATTACTTGATGGGAACACAATCGAAGAAGCTGTTCGAATCGCGGCCCCATGTTAGCGCATGGGTAGCTGATATCACTGCAAGGCCAGCTTGGAATAAGGTGATTGCCATGCGAAGCTAGTAGTAAAAGACTGCTGTTGCTGGCTACTCAACAGTCATGTATCTTCAATAATTCCATGTATTTTGGCTTCATATATGCCCTTGATTTTCCTTTTCCATAAATAGTTGGACAAGACTCTTCTGCTGCTGCTGGTGTTGTGGTGGCATGCCTTTGAGTTCTTGTCTTCCATCCTCAGTATGAAGATTGGTATGCCTTTACAATCTGTTTTTGGTGTTTGAAGTTTGTGTTTGCCCATCCAGTAGTTGATCTCAACTGTCTTCATCTAAAATTCAAAAGATAACCAAGCTGCAAGCAGAGCATTCACCATCCACTAAACTTGCCGTAGTCAGTGAAATGGAAACAACCCAACCCAATTCAATAATAGAACAGAACCAATCCCTTGCAAATACAATGTGACTTATTGTGCTAACAGTTGAGTAACTTGGTCAGAGGGTTCAAATTCCACAGAACTACAGCCCAAGTCTTTCTTAAGGTCTTTCTGTTTCATCATCCCCCTCACTTTCTCAACATCATTCCATCTTCCCATCTCTGCATAAATATTAGACAGCAGAACATAGTAAGTACTATTCCCTGGCTCTAGTTCAACAAGCTTCCGAGCTGCAAACTCGCTCAATTCCAAGTTCCCATGAGTTTTACCACCAGCCAGCAATGACCCCCAAATAGCTTTAGTAGGCTCATAAGGCATTTCTCTTAAGCATTTCAAAGCATCTTCAAGATACCCAGAACGTGCTAACAGGTCAATCATACAAGCATAATGTTTCACCCCAGGCAAAAATCCATACTTCCCATCGCTCAAGGAACGAAAAATCTGCCTACCGATATCTACCAACCCTGAATGACTACAAGCATTTAAAACCGAAACTAAAGTCACTTCATCTACTCTGATCCCTTCTTGTTCCATCCTCTTAAACCACCCAACTGTCTCCTTACCATTTTTAGCAAGAGCTAGCCCTTTAATAAGTGCATTCCAAGTAAAGGTGTTCTTCTCTTTCATGCTATTGAAAACAGCCAAACCTTTTTCAATCCTACCACATTTTCCATACATATCAATCAAAGAAGTTCCCAAGATTACATCCAAATCCCAGTCACACCTCCTTATAAAGTCATGTATCCAAACACCCATCTCAAGGGCCCCGAAATTTGCACAAGCAGCTAAAGCATTCACCATTGTCACATGATTGGGGACCACACCAGCATATTGCATCTGTTCAAAAGAAATCAAGGCATCATCATAATTCTCGGAGTTTCGGTACCCCATTATTAAAACCGTCCACGACACAACATCTCTCTGGGGCATTTCATCAAACACCTGTCGACAAAACTCCATGCGGCCACACGATGCATAGACATTCAATAACGAGTTATGCACGTAAATATCATAGAGATGACCCAATTTTAAGACATGGGTATGCAAGCATTGCCCTTGTTTGAAGTCGTGGGAATCAGCTAGGGACTTTAGAAGGAAAGGGAAGGTGAAGTTATTGGGAAGAATGGAGCTTTTATGCATGTGGATGTAGATAGAGAGAGGGATGTGATTATGAATCTGATTACGAGGAGTGTGGGAGTGAGAGAATGCTCTAATGAGAGAATTGCAAATGAAAACATGGGGTTTGGGAAGCTGAGTTAGGAAGTGGAGGTGGGCTAAATCCAAGAGGCCAAGAGATTGACAGGCAGAGATGAAGTGGGAGGCAATGGTGGTGTTTGAGTGGAGGTTTAGGAGGATGAGTTGGGCTTGGATTTGGTTGATGTGAGTAGCAGAGGAGCAGTTGCTGAGAAGAGAGAGAAATCGACTTGTTGCAGAGCTGAGCGGCGGAAGTGGTCTCATCTCATCTGAGAACAGAGAGCACAGACGAACGAAATTTCAGTGTGCGCAGGGAGGGTTTTGTATTCTTTTTGTTTTTATAGCAGCGGACGAAAAAATGGTCAAAAATAATAATAATGCGCATCCAGGGAATCGAACCCTGGTCAGTACCGTGGGAGGGTACTATGATACCACTACACCAGATGCGCTTCTTGCCATTCAAAGTGAAACAATCATATTAAACTTAACTTTTGAGTCGATCTACTTCCCTCCCCGCCGCTCCTTTACTCATTCTTCTCGTCTCGTCTCTCTCTCTCTCTCTCTCTCAATCCAAGTCTCCAACTGGCAACGAGGACGCCAATCGCCAGAGGTTAGAAATTCCTCCCCATATCTTTTTATTTAACTTGGTTTGCTACGAATATTAAAAGCATGTTAATTTATGCTTTAGGTTCTGTTTGTTTGTGTGTGAACTAAAGAAAAAGATTGCAACTTTTTTCTTTTTGTAATCCTTATAATCAGAAGTAAGAAAATGCAATAAAAACTGCCGTCAAGGTGCTAACTTTTTTTTTTCTCTCTAATTCTTTTGGCTTCCAAGATGTTTACAAAACCTCCACTTATTTTCAATATCCTCGATTCTCATAGCTGGATGAGTTGATAGAATAAAGTTTGAAATAATTACAGGGAGCAACAAAAGCTCCTCATTTCTAACGAGTCAAATTTCAAGTCTTTAATTTTGAGAGTTTGATGGGGAGCCCATTAGAGCTCCATTGTTCCATCTGTATACTCAAAATAGCTGAAGGAAAAAGATGGCTAGCCTCAATGATATTGGAGATGATCTAAAGTGTTTCAGTAATTTTCCTTGACATAAATTTTTGTAGTAAAAAATTCATTAAATGGTGTTCTGGAGAGTAATGTTTTGGTGCATTTTGAACCGCCCTGCAAATAGGTTTTGTGGACATCATCCCAGTAATTGCTAACAGAAAAGGCAGAAGACCATAGGAAGTTGAAAAATGAGGATAGTGGGACTGACTGGTGGAATTGCTTCTGGGAAGAGTACCGTCTCAAATCTCTTTAAGACCCATGGCATTCCAGTGGTTGACGCCGATCTTGTTGCTCGAGTAAGTGATGGGCAAAAGCTGAATTTTCTAATTTTGACAATCATGAAAGTTGGATGGCAATGAATTCTTTTCATCTAATTCAAGGAGTGATCATTTTTTGGTTTCAGGATGTATTAAAGAAGGGCACTGGTGGCTGGAAAAAGGTTGTTTCAGCATTTGGAGAGGACATTTTACGACCTGATGGAGAAGTTGATAGGCCTAAACTGGGGCAAATTGTATTCTCTAATCCTGTAAAGCGCCAACTTTTGAACCGGTACGTACTCTTTTGCAAATAGCTCCAGGTTTTCTTTGCACGATTTCACTTAGAGTCACTTCTATTTTTATTTTTATTTTTTTGCTGTATACAAGACCATGGTCTAGTCATTTTTCATGCTAGAATTTTACTTGCTAATTCAATTTATTCCTAGTGAAGTTGGGTATAACATACTCCTTTATAAATGTAGTCACCATTGGATCTACAGGGTGCTTGTTAAAAACATAGTGTTTCTTGTTAGTCACCATTGGATCATACTCCCTTATGGTTGTGAAACATTACCATTCAGGTTGAGTTTTGACTCATCCAGGTCAAGATTCACGAGTATGCAGGAGAAATTACGCCAATTCCTTTTAGTCAAAATTTCCTGGATTTTATCAGGCTCAGAATATTCTAGTACCACTATGAGAGTTTGTGTTGGATTAGTTTATAGCACAAGTTACTATCATATCAGCTATAATCTCCAGTTTTTATCTTCATGTAGACTACTAGCTCCTTACATATCATCTGGAATCTTTTGGGAAATGTTGAAGCTATGGATGAAGGGTTTTAAGGTTATTGTTCTTGATGTCCCTCTGTTGTTCGAGGCCAAGATGGACAAATGGACAAAGCCCATTATTGTCGTATGGGTTGATCCTGAAACACAGGTCCAGAGACTCATGTTAAGGGACAGAACAAGTGAGGATGATGCTCAAAATAGGATCAATGCTCAGATGTCACTTGATCTAAAAAGGACCAGGGCAGACATTGTGATTGATAACACTGGATCACTGGAGGATTTGAAAGAACAGTTTCAGAATGTCCTATTTGAAGTTACAAAGCCCTTGACATGGACTGAATTTGGGCTTTCTATACAAGGAGCCGCGTCTGTTCTTGTTTCCATTATTGTAGGTGTTCTTATATTCAGAAAAGTTTATAGTACTGGGAGTTTGTAGCAACCTTGGAACTGTGCGTGTTGAGATCTTGATCTAAACCTCTATGTCCTTGATAGAACAAGCTTCACATTGTCTTCTGTAGCAACAATGAAGAATGATTCTTTGCATTTGCAGTCTAAAATTATTGCACTAGAGCTTTGATTTGTTATGTTTCTAGGTTATCTTTCTGTTCCATAACTGGATACCGGTTGAGCTTTGATTTGTTATGTTTCTTAGGGATTAAGTAGAGAATAATAATGTGGCTCACAACCCTGTGATGTTAAAGCTTTTTTACGTTGTGTTGAAATGTAAAGGGTGGTCGGGTACAAAAGGAAGTCAAGTCGTTTTCGGTGATATTTTGGAACGCATTAGGAAGTCAAGTTTATAAATTTGTTTTCTCAGATTGGATGACCATGTTAAATTTTAATTGATAATGGCCCCGTTTGTATGCCAACAAGCACAAAAGCAAGAATTGTTCTGAGTGCTAAGTGCAGTCACAGGTCACTCCAGTGTTCAAGACATGGCTAAACCATTGGTGTGTATAAAGTGCAGATAAGTGAAGCCCCATTACAGTATTGTGTGCTGTGACGATATGGAATTTTTTGTATGTACTGATATAGACTGGCCTCTACGTTTGATGAGTATCAGCCTGAAAAGCAGAGAAATATATATATGATATCTCTGGTTCTAAAATAATCTGTAAGCAAAAGTGGTGCCATTGTTTAGTAACAATCATTTGATCTCTTCCAGTTGCCTTTGAGAATGTTGATTGTTATCTTTTGTATATCGCTTTTGCCTTTTGATTTGCAGAGACGTGCACTGCTGGCAAGCACATTAACAGTTAACTACTAGCTGTCTTTTTTTCATAGTAAAGCTGCATGTCCTGCATTGTACAAAAGGAAGGCAGCATTCCATTTACCATGCTACTCTTGTGAAATTAAATCAGTTTAGATCATTCATCTGTTGAACAAGCAAGCAGGACAGCATGTAGTATAATATTAGTTATGGTTTGGTTCGATTTGATTCGGTTCAAAAGTACACTCTTTGTAGTGTAAACACAGAACCAAACCGCTCAAATTGGTTCGGTTTGGCCACCCTATTGAAGTGAACGATTCATTTTAGTTATCAGTCATCAACTACATTAGGTACAGGGTGTTCAAAGGTTGGTGTTGGTATAAGGTCTCAAAGAGGTAATTCCGTTATGGACTATCAATTTCAAGAGCTATTGCCACTGGCCTATTAAATAATATATAGCTCACTAGAGGGGTGTCGTCATGGAATTAAGTTTTTGCTTTGATTAAAGAAAAAAAATTAGTTTTTCGTTGTACCTTTTGATTTTACTGTTTGGCCGATAGTAGTCCAAAAACCCATCGAAAGTTAATTGAAAGCAAGCACAAGGGCATGGTTCCGAGGCAAGGAAGTTGCCCTAGTCTTTTCTAATAACTCAATAATTTGATCACCTTGACACTCCACCAAACCAAACCAGGTACAATACTCTGCATGCAAAATGAGGGCAGCTTTTCAGATCAGTAAGGAGCAAAGCAGAGCAGCTTTCAGTCCAGTGGATTCTAGCACTTGCTCTGGTGTTCCTGGATTTACTTGTTAGAATATTCTAGGCCTGGGAAAAGTTACAGAACAGCAACCCTATAATAAATATATATGGAGGGAGCCCCATAACCATAACCATAAATGATGTTGATGATGATGAGGGAGGGGTAGGTGGGTAGGGAGGTTGGCTTTTATCTGGGTCAATTTTCTCAGTAAAAGTAAGTAAAGAAGCCCTATAATATAAAGTAAAGATCTCATGGATAACTGCAAAAGATGCAACAAAAGCCAAAAGGGTTAATGCAAAGCCACAAACAAGAAAAGAGAAGAGAGGGATAGGATCACGGACTCTCTCCTCTCCTCCTCGCTCCACAATGAACTGAAAAGGCTCTGATAATCTCATCATTCCTCACGAGCACTGGCGGATCTGTTAAGGAGCAAAGAGGTGCAGCTGCACCTCTTCTCGCCAGAAAAACTATTGTTGGTGTTTGAAATTGCCCATTTGCTCCTTAATTCCATCTTCAATATTTAAGTAAATGTCTTTGTCTTTTTACTTTCATTTATTTTTATATTACTCCATTTACTTAAGTTTACAATGTAAATAAGGAAGTACCCCCCATTTGGATTCAAATAAAAATACTAGAAAATCAAATTCCCCCCAAATAAAAATTTGAAAAATCGGTTTTAGTGCAAAATACGATTTTGGCTAAAAATGATAGTTTATTAAGTCAATATATACTTCATAATAAAATCCCATAAAATCAAGTTTTCTTATTTGATGTGTAAGGAATAAAAGCCGCCAAAAATTATCTTGAGAAAATTATTATTCCGAAAAACCATTTTTCATACTTAGTCAATATTTTTACATAGAACAATTTTTCATGTATGATATGAATATATGAAGGGACCTAAGGTCAATCTAGATAAAAAGTCTTAGATGTTCAATCCACAAAAAAATTTTAACATTTCAAAATTGCACCTCCGTTAAAAAATTATTGAGTCCCCCATTGCTCACGGGCAGGCAAGGCAGAGTTAGATTTTGATATCTATCTAAATTTCTGGATCAAGTCTACATGACTTTCATTACCCTAACCCGCATACAGAAATATAAACCAAAAAGTATGTGAATTGGAGTTTGTGAAGCTGCAGTTAGCTGTTGGTAGGGTCACGTGATATTGATGACGTGTCAGACCTTTAGTGGTTCATTGGGTGGAGAGTTGATGTGGCATCCACACCATGACAATACCACCAGATGCCTTCTTCTTGCTTTTTTCTTCCACTTTTTATTGCTCCCGCCTTACTCTTATATCCTTCCCCCACTCCCTAACCTAAGCACACTCACACACACTCTCTCTCTCTCAAACCTCCCACTTTCCTTATTCTCCACTTCATCAAGCTCTTTCTCTCTCCCCCTTATAGATAGATGGCAACAAAACCAGCTGAAGAAGCTCCTGGATCCTTAAAATACCAGGTATAATTAATAAGTATAATAGTTTTGTTCTCATCAACCAAGTTCAGTTGCTTTCTTTATCAACTAAAACCTTTTCCCAAATCAAAATGTTCCTCCTATAAATGAATTGAGTTGATTGATTATCTCCTCTGTTTTGCAGACATGGGTCCTGAAAGTCTCAATTCACTGTGAAGGCTGCAAGAAGAAAGTGAAGAAAGTCCTTCAAGGCATTGAAGGTGAGTACATATGATACGTGACCACCATAGTTATTATATATCTTCACTAAATCAAGTTGTAATTCATGATCATTTGTGTTTAATTGTTGACGTGATCACCAGGGGTTTACATGACGACGGTTGATTCTCAGCAGCACAAGGTGACGGTTACTGGCAACGTGGAGGCAGAGACCCTTCTCAAGAAGCTGTTGAGGTCAGGCAAACACGCCGAGCTTTGGCCTGAAACTAAGAAAGCCAAAAAATCCAAATCAAAGAATAATAATAAAGAAAAGCAGGCCACAGATAGTACTGAAAAAGATGGTGATCATGACGATGGCCATGGTGATCAACCTGATCAAGTCAACGGCGGTGATGATGCTGATGATGGTGGTGAGTCGGAGAAAGAGGGTGACGAAAGTAACGAAGCTGCTGGTGGTGGCGGAAATAGTGCAAGTACTGGGGCTAAAAAGAAGAAAAAGAAGAAGAAGAAGAAAGGGCAAAATGGTAATTCTACTAATGTCAGCGGCGGTGGCAACCCCGGTGACACGGTCTTTGGTGATGCTCCGGGAGGCGGAGTTGTGCCGTCTGTGGCTGCTCTTGAGGTGACTCAAGAGATGGGCTCCATGAATATGGGCCCACCAATTCAGCACGTGTACCCCGGCCCATACTCTTCATCAATGTACTATCTGCCTCCAACGTATGGGCTAAGTTACAATACGGCCTATCCTACGAGTACAGCTACTTCGTACTTTGCTCCTGATGCCATGCATTCTACTACGTATTCTCACCCGGATATGTACTCGCCCGCTCTGCCGTTCGATTCCTTCGAAACATTCTATGTGGAGGATGACGACCACGACCACGACGAAGACGAAAGTGGGTGTCGCATTATGTGAGAATTAGAATTATGAGGGTTATGTAAGCGTACGTACGTAGAACTAATTAATGTATTAAATACTAGTATATATATAATGTGTGTACTTTGGGGGGAAGAGAGGATTAATTTTGTAACATGTAATAATTAATGGGTCTGGTCTTTGTTATAACTTAATATATAATTATATAGGTATGTAGCTATAGCTATTTTACTAGTTTGGGTTTGCGTAAAATCTCCTTTTCCCCTCAGCCTGATGTGTAAAGTAGTTTTTTGTATTATGAAATCTCTCTCTGTTTACAATCAAAATGCATGCTAGCTAGCTACACTGTCTTTTCAATTAATTTGCTGAATGACAAAGTGCTTTTGAAAAGCATATCGTAGTACATATTCTCTCTTTTGGCTATAAGGTGTCTGTGTAGAGTAGTAGACAGTAAAGATCTTTCTTTCGATTATGCGAGGGGTACATCTCCCACTTTGGAATGAAAAGCTAGATAGATGGTCTGTTTGGTGCTGTTGTCTTAAGCTTTTATATCTTTATTCTTTCTGAGGCTCACAACAGGGCAAGCATGCATGCATGCCCATGGGGACCAATACCCTAAGATATAAATATATCTGGTGGAGTGGAAGTTGTGGAACAAAGAATCAATATAAATCTAATCCCCAATTCCCGATGCTTCTACATTTGCACAGCTAAAATCATTCTCTGCTGACCTTCTTTGAATGAGCTTTGCTTCAAATTAATGGGGGGAAAAAGAGAAGAATAATTTAAAAAGGAGAACCTTAAAATTATATGCCAATATCTTACAGTCATGATCACTTTATGAAGCCATATATATACATGATTTTTTGACCCTCTAGCCTCAACTTCAACCTCACCTTTTATCAAAATTTTCGGAATATTCACATTGGATTATACCTCTTTCCGGTACATAAAAGAGAACTTGAATGGTTATCCTGTCACGTATTCGTTATCAAAACAAATGGAAGGGCAAGTCCATGTCCTCATGTATGTATAAAAACTTTTTGCAAATGCAGGTTAAGCCAGTTGGTTAAGACAGTGTGTTACGCGCCCTCGTATTAATTTATAGTTCACACCAACAGGCGTGCAGCCACAAGAGTCATGTGTTGCCAAGTTTTCCCCGGGCTTCGTCTTTTCAATCAGATTCCAGAAAGCTCTATGCATACATGGACGTTAATTCTAAGATACATGCTGGTCAAGGAGAAGAGATGACTGCCTCTGGCTCTGCAATTATACTTAATTTATATCAATGGTCAACTTTAATTCTTTCATTGGATTAATATATATATCATAAGTTGCATGATTACTAAAAGTTGGTTCTTTAGTTAATATGTTGGATATGAATAGATGGAATGAAATGATGATCTATTGGGCCCTCTTTGGTAGAGTATGATTTGGTAGAATCTAGAAAGCAAGTCCTTTTCCCTCAACCCATGTCCCCCACCACCAAATGAAAACACGAGAAAGAAAGAAACTTAATTTCACAATCCCTATAAATCACTGCAGCTAGCATTGCTCTGTGTAGTTGTATGATTTTCAAAATCATTTTTCGAGAAGGGACAAATTGAAGATATTTTCATGTTAAAGGGAAACGTATTTGGACGACAAATGCTCTACTATTCATTATAAAGATCAGAAAGAATGAAAAGAGAATCCAACCCCAAAAGCAAATGAATCCGATGTATATTTCTTCAGCCTGTAACATATCCTAATTACGATATTCATGTATATTGGATGAACGAAGGATATTCGAATTTGCAACTTCTTTCAATGTTAGGAAGAGAAGTATCATTAGACTAATAGCTAGTTGGTGATGATACAATAAGTATATTACGCATTTCTTTTATACTTGACATGAAAATGAGTTTCTTTTTTGGTGGATATTAATGCGTTTCCATTCTCTGTTATGTTATGTTACAATGGCCATAGCTTAGTAGGTGTAAAACCAACATGAAAATGGAAGTAGGAGGGAGGGTGAGGCATTCATTGGAAGATAAGTCTAAGCAGGTTGAGCAGGTAAGTACTGATGGTTATATCAGTGGTGTTAAATTCGCTAGCTAGCTGCCCTAGCTTTTTATGTTTGTTGGGCAGGTTTTCCTCATCTTTAAGGCATGCATGGCAAGTAGTTTCCCATTCCACCCACTAGCTAGCCCAGTTGGATAATGAATCTCTTGATTCTTGACCCAGCCAACCGTCCATAAAGAGCATTTGACTGAGCCCTACCTACTTTGAAGTTGGTTCGTGCCAAAACGACACCGAATTTATAATATAAGAAGATAGGTTATAATTCTCTCATCAAAAAATAATTATTGAATGTACTCTTTTTTCATTAAGTTTACCTGAATTGTGTGGATCAGAAAATTAAGAACAAAAGGAAGAAAGCAAGAAAAAAAGGATAACAAAAAGCAGAATTTAAACCAATATCATGGATATTGGGAGCTGTGTTTAGGGTTATGTCGAGGGTTCAATCCAGTCGCCCAATAATATACATGTAATTGATTGGATGAATATATTGTAACCCCGCATTATAATCCTTCACTGTAATTCCTTATTACAGTCTCTCTGTACTTTGTCAAACAAGATTGGGCTTATAAACTAACACAACCCAGGGAGAAAGGCAAACTGTTGTATATGTGCAAGCTTGCTGTGTTCAACCCAGCCCTGGGTGTTTTGCATGGACTAGAGGAGGAGAGGACTTGCTTCAAGGCCCAATAACTTAGTCTCCAAAACCCAGAATGAAAAGGCTCGGTTTCCTCGCAGAAAATATCCAGAAACTTTTCTTTTTGAAAAAACAACAATGAGATAAGAAGAGATAGGAGAAGATAGGAAGACAGCTGGTGATTTGGTGCTATTTGAGAGTCAATTTATGCCCTCCTCCTCCTCCTCCTCCTCCTCCTCCTTGGCTTTCTCTCTCTCTCTCTCTCTCTCCACTCATTTCATCTTGGGGAGTGGAATGAAGTGGGCGTATCAGTGGATTGTCTTTGCACAGTTAAAGCATCTTATTTTGATAGCTTCCCATCAACATTTTCCTCACTCTCAAGTGTGAATTGAAACATTTGGAATCTAAGCCTGGTAAAAAGTAAATTCGGATTTGAAAGGGGCATCTTTATTACAAGATCTTAACACATTAGAAATTGGAATATGGTATGATATGATATCACTCCAATGACACTCAGCTATCAGTTTTGGCATCAGACGGAAGCACAATGAGCACATATTCCTGTAACATGGCATTGGATTCAATTTCTGTCGTGTGCACAATTTGTTTATCAAAGCATCTGTTTATGTATTTAAGATAACGAAGAGATGCAGACAAGATAATGAATATTTTACACTAGTCTATATACTAGTTGGGTCACCATATCAATCATGCAGCATCTTTTATTTTCAAAACCCATGTGATGTTAGTGGCCACATCGGCAGGTTCCTACCCTTTTTTCTTCTATAAGAACCCAGGCAAGGCCATGAATAATTCTAATATCTTACCCTCTTGGCCTTACAAACGCAGTTTATCACCAACAATGAAACCCCAACACATTTGTGGGGAGAGTTCTCTGTGTGAAGAATCAAAGATAGGTGTTCGAGAAAGGCTCGGGCAGGCTTATAAGGCTGCCATGCTGGTTATGGCGAGGCATGGAGCTCAGAATGGTTTTGGTAGGGGTCTCTTGATTTCAAAGGCAATCGAGAGACGAAGGTGGAGCTCCTCTGCAGAAGACCCAATTAAGACTCTCATGTTCTTGGGGTCATGGAACCACACTTAAGCTTTGATTGCTTGTAATAAACTTGTCAAGTATGATAGAATTTGAGGATGAACAGAAAAAAAATTCTTGAAATTTGGAAACTTGTATGATAGTCGATGACTCATGTAATTATACATGTTTGGTGTAACATATGAATGTATTGCCAAGATATCACAACATCTTTCAGCACATGTGCAATATGTATTTGCTTTGATTAATAAAAGAAGAACTCTTAGATGCAGAACGTGCCAAGACAATTATTTTGCAACAAATTTTTTTTGGATTTTTCAGTAACTGCAAATTATTGTCCAGCTAGCTATTGATAATTATAAGAGCACACACACACAAAGATCCAAAATCTAGTTCTACAAAGTTACATTTACTTTTACTTAGTCTCCTCCTGCTTAGTTTCCTCCTGCTTAGTTGCCTTGTTGATAAATTTTCCCAGCTGAATTCCCATATTAGAAGCAAGACCACCACCATGGGAACTTGCTTGGCCTTGTCCAGAGCCAGAGCCAGAGCCAGAGGCATCGTTAGCAGCTTCCAGCGACTTCTTCTTCTTAACCTTCTGAGCCCAACCAACAAGCCCTACTTGCACATGCTCATTAAATATTGCCGCCTTGAAATTAGTCCCCATCTGTGCCACAATGGCGTAGAGTGGCAGAGTGCTGTAACTACAGAGCACCTGAATGAACACCCCAATAATAAGCCTGGGGACAATGTAACGCACTTGTCCCATTATGCACGAGTCGAAACCATACTGCAGCCAAATCCAGAAAAAGAAGGCGATTTCGAAAGCATTTTGGAAGAGGATGAAATGGATCAAGAAGAGGACAATTTTGGGTTTGCCGAACCAAAAGTGGTCATCTGATGGCTGAACCACAAGATCCCCTTCTATGGCTATATGTTTCTCAGCAACCTCATGTGCCAATTGGGTAATTATATGCTCCAGCTTAGTTCCCACAGCAAGCAGAAGAACGAAGGGAGCAAAAGCTATCCAGAAATATGTATGCCAGCCATTAATATTCATCAGCAAGAAGATGACCACAAATATCCAGAGATACCAACTTATACCAACCACTTTCTTAAAATCATCTTCAAGGGCTCTAATCATGTATTTGTGAAAATTAAATTTGGGGTTTCCCCTGCAATGGGTTGTGATGAAACCCAGTCGCAAAGTCACATAATCTGATTTCGTCACAGATGCATAAAATTGTTTGACAAAAGAATCTACCCATCCCAGAAAGGCTGAATTTTTACCCATACCCAGAAAATGGGCTTTGATAAAAGCGTGTTGGTTGACATGGGTGACCTTTTTCTTCTTCTTGAGAACTTGTTCTGAATCATAATTTTCTTTTGCGATCGAATCCTCCCAAGATTTCCATTGACGAATTTTCATCCCTCCGAAGACAACAGTGAGAACACAGAAGGTCACATGGACAATGGCTAGGACGAAGATAAAGATATGCAGATGATGCAAAGCTTCAACTGATAACAACGGTACCTTATGCTTTTTGGCACAGTAACCGATCTGCATCTCAAACGATTCCTCGGCGAAAAGCTTCCTCCTTCCGAAATGGGAAGTGGGTTTTGCTGCTTCTTCCTCACTGGGGAGTTTGCATGGCAGCAGATGCTCCATTACTTGGTGGGCGACGCAGATTTTGGAGATGACGTTTTGGAAGACAGTGAGGAGCAGAGAAATGAAGCCCAACAGCATAAGCTCCTCTTTAATTTTCTGCAAGGCTTCGAAGAGCGGCTTCTGGTTCTTCTTCTTCAAGTACTTGCCTCCGTAGTGGAGGAGGCGCTCGAGTGCCAGAGAAATGGCGACGATCACAGTGCACACTGCTGCAACAATCCATGTCGGCGTGTACTCTAACGTCTCCCCTTCGGTTTCACCACCACTCATCCTTCACCTTCTTTTTTCCCTCTATCTTTTCTCTTCTTCAATTCTCTCCTCAGCTGCTTCAGTTCACATTATAAATTTGACAAAGCTTCACTTATTGTGCCCACAAAAATTTCTTTAATCTTTATTGTTGACGAAGAAGAAAAAAAAGTTACTTTCGGAAATACGTTTCTCACACGGGTTGGTTTCTGGGATTCAGACAAAAAGACCAAAACACACTAATTTTAATTTGGTTACTTTCTCAGATAATTTGTGATTAAAAAAGAGAGGAAATAATATCTTCTTTTGAAAAGATTAATTATGAAATTTAGGAGTTACATCAGCGTCAGCCCAAAGGATAGCACCGACCGACCAGCCATATCATATCATACAGGAAACTGGACTCAACCGCTGAAATTTATTTTGAGTAAAATATTATTAGATAAATATATTTGGTTTTTGGTATTCGTGTTCTAGGTCAATAACAAATATCAATAAATTAGCATCCTCATCTTTGTCCACACAAAAAAAATCTTAGTTATTAATTATTATCACCTATGTTGCACGGATACTCCAAACTACTGGAGTGTTGGAGTGTCGGACACGCCGATACGGCTCCGACACGCCCTAAACAAGCATTGGACACGATCAACGATTAGGACACGGTCAAGACATGGCTCCGACACGGTCAAAATACAGCTCCGACATGGTCAAGACACGGCATGGACCAATTTGAATCAAAATAAAATACAGGGTCTAAACATGATTTTTAAAACTTTGGTGGACTTATTTGAAATATTTTTAAAAATAGGGGCTAAAGGTGGAAAAAAACTTTTTAAAACCTAAATCTCACTTTTTCTGCTGCCAAAGTTCATTTCCTCCGTCATAGCTCTTCTCCTCCCTTTCTCCTGGTTTTGCACAAGGTCTTTTTGCAATTTTTTTTTCTCTGTTTTCAAATGCATTTATTTATGTTCTCTATTTTCTTTTCTTATCTCCTCCACAACAGTAGAAGAGAGTTGGACTTGGTGGTGAGGTGACAATTCTTTCTTCTATTTTTTTTAAGAGAAACACAACAAATAATAACAACAACAATGATGACATAGATAGATGCTTGAAGAAGATTGAGAGTTAGATCATTTACGTTTTATTTTGTGGTCTATTAATTATTATGTATAGATAATGATCATGAGTTATTTGTTTTGTTTTATGGAATTATGTGACATTGAAGTATTGAGAATAAATTATTATTTTAATTGACGGGTCCTAACCGTACCTGTGTCCTAACTTTTTGAGATTTTCCGTGTCACCGTGTCCTCGTGTTGCGTTCTCGTGTCCCTGTACCCGTGTCCGTGCAACATAGACTATCACAATAACAAATATTAAGACTGCCACCTTTTTTTAATACAACTATGTTGGATGAGGGAAAATTTGAATACATGTGCTTGATTGTATGAATAAATGTTTTTAATCCCTTGAGTTATAAATTCATTATTATTAAAACTGCCACTTGGTATGATAAAATAAATAAATAGATCAATATCAAACCGAACATTTTAGTTTGAAAATCGAATTTTACAATATGAAAATCAAAGAATTTGAAATAGAGAAGTACATAAGGGGTTTTCGATAGGGTGTGGATTGCAATTAATCTTTCAAGTTTTTATTTTTATTTTTAGAGAAAAGCGATAATTGTATTCATAAATTGGACACAACGACCATTAGTTACAAGAGCAAATACAAATACCTATAAATAGGTAATACAAATATGAAAGCATAGTAACCACATAGGGTTAATCCAGATACATGCCACAAAATGCGAGATAAATTTTGGTAAAACATCTTTAAGTTAATTTTGTCATTTGGAGTATTAATGTAATTTTCAAAATCTAAAGAATTTTGTGAAAATAAGAAGAAGGAAAAAAATGAAGTGTGAAAAATCCCAAAGTGACCCTTACCCTTCTCTCTCTCTCTCTCTCTCTCTCTCTCTCTCACACACACACACATACTTTTCTCTCTCATAACCGTAGCTACTACTCAACGGCAACGACAGCACCCACCAACCAATAACTCCGTGAATCGGCAAAGGTAAGAGAAAATCTATGCGGATGCTTTTAGCTTCTCCTTTTTCGATTAGTTTTGTTTAAGAGAATGGCTTTCCAAGGCTAGCAGCTTGGGATTTGATCTGTTCCATAATTAGTTTGCCATTCATTTGTGATAATATAAATCTGGAATCAAGTAGCAATTGGAAATTGGAATCATTTGTGAATAATTTGTTTTAGTGGATTACAGTAACACATTGAGGTTGGAGCTCCTCCTCATCAGAAACCCTCATCTCTTCAAGACTGAGTGAGTGGTTGATCAATGGCATCACAATCAGATCACAAGGCTGCGATAATCGATGGCAAAGCCATAGCGCAGACCATCCGAAACGAAATTGCTGAGGAAGTCCGCCATCTCTCCCAGAAATATGGCAAGGTCTGCTCTATCTCAACTTAATTTTGTAATTACTTAGTGGATGGATTTTGACAATGCAATTATGCAATGATTTAGGTTCCGGGACTGGCAGTAGTGATAGTAGGGAACAGAAAGGACTCCCAAAGCTATGTGAGCATGAAGCGAAAGGCATGTGCTGAAGTTGGCATTCTATCCTTGGACATTGACCTCCCTGAGGATGTGTCCCAAGTTGACCTCATTGCTAAAGTTCATGAATTAAACGCCAATCCCGATGTACATGGTTGGTTACTTGAATGATGGTGGCTCACTTGTTAATTTCCTTTTTTTTTAAATTCAAGCTTAGTGAAACCAGTGCTATATTTTCATTTGTTAGTCGTGAAAGTATGTTTTATTTTGTTGGCAGGTATACTAGTTCAGCTTCCGTTGCCAAAGCATATAAATGAGGAGAAAGTGTTAAGTGAAATCAGCATTGACAAGGATGTCGATGGCTTTCATCCTCTCAACATTGGCAAGCTTGCAATGAAAGGCAGAGAACCTCTATTCCTTCCTTGCACTCCCAAGGCAAGACAATTGAGTTATGTATTCAAATCAAACACAGATAGATGCAGACGCACACACATATATGGAGCTGTGAGAGGCTTTCATGTGGCAGTTAGCGGTTTTGTTTTATGAGATGGTTTTCTCTGCAGGGCTGTCTGGAACTTCTGTCACGGAGTGGCATAAGCATAAAGGGAAAGAAGGCAGTGGTGGTGGGCAGAAGTAACATAGTTGGATTGCCGGTTTCATTACTGCTTTTGAAAGCAGATGCTACAGTTACCGTAGTCCATTCTCATTCTCATGATCCGGAGAGTATCATTCGTGAAGCGGACATTATTATTGCCGCAGCAGGGCAGGCAATGATGGTAGGTAGTTCACAGATTGTTGTTCCTTGATATGGAGTAACATTGTTTTATGACATACATGTTTTATCTCGTTTAATATTTGTTTGGCTTTCCATCAGATTTGTAGTTAAAAATAGTGCTGAAGACCAAGGTAATTCATCCATGAATACTAGCACAGAACAGTAGATGCCATATACTAACAGCTCCATATTTTTCAGTATACACAACTTGTACATAGTTAAATACTTCAAACACCTTTCTATATGCTTAGCTTACACAAGAAAACTGAAATGCAACTAAGAGAATAGGTGTACTTGGTTGTTTCGTCCCATTCATCCCAAGTGAAGGAAAAAGGAAATTCTTGGGCCCTGGTACTTCCATCGTTTTTACTGCGAAGTTGTAAGGCAATGCGTCTCTTCACTAGGTTGTATCATTGCTTCGATGAAATGACTGACATGAAATCTGTTAGTGGAGCAAACATCATTTCTGTCTGTCCTATACGTTTTAAATCGATGAAAAATCTATTTAAATTTTTGTTAATCAGTGTATCTATTGAATTTCAGATCAAGGGTAGTTGGATAAAACCAGGTGCTGCAGTCATCGATGTCGGCACAAATGCAATAGACGACTCGAGTAGAAAGTCAGGCTATAGATTGGTGGGAGATGTTGATTTCCAGGAAGCATGTAAGGTTGCTGGATGGGTAACTCCTGTGCCTGGAGGTGTCGGCCCAATGACTGTTGCAATGTTACTCAAGAACACTTTGGACGGTGCTAAGCGCGTTATTGCACAATAAAAACTGTTGCCAAGCGTGCCCTCTCACTCAAAATTCTAGTGGGCCTAATTTAGAATTTTGATTTTGAAGATTTACTTTAGAGACTTTTTTATATTTATTTTTTGTTAAAAAGTCTTGGGAATTTCACTCCCAGTTTTAACCGATCTTGTGTTGGTTCATGCATACATGATACATATGCTTGTATGAATACTTAATTGACTAAATTCTCCTTAATAGTTTTTTAGGACAAATGATAGTCTAAATTACAAAAGATAACGGTTTATGATGTCATGTGTGGGTTCGAACCTAAGACCACTGATATGCAAATCAATGCCATTTTTTACTGGACTAGACATCGCTTTTCCTAAATTGGTGCATTCTCCTCTTCCTGACTTCTCTTAAACTTGTATTTATTGTTGTCAAATTATTGTATTTAAAGATATAATTTAGACTTTGACCAGCCAACCAGTGTTTAGGAGCATTTTTGCTCACCACTTTAAAATTCTTTTGGTTAGGTGAAATTCGCCCTCTTTTCAAACAAGCATTTATTAGCTATTTTAAGAAGCATTTGACCCCTTAACAGAACATCATTAAGGGACCATCTTCTGATTAGATAGCTTTTTCTTAATCTCCACGCATTCGTCGTGTAAAAGAATGAACATTATTACCTACCTGTGAGCAGCTTGGACTGATGTGCATCTTGTTAATCGAGTTGTTCAACAACTTGATTGAATCTCGTATCTCTAGTCAGTGACGTCGTGAGATATCAAATCCTGTTATTCGTAATTACCTTCTTGTTTATCTCATAATCTCTTACTTACTTGTTTCCAACCCTTAATTCGATTGCGACCACTTAGAATTAGGTGTAAGATAAGGTTGTTAGGTGAATATACATATATATACCAAACCACTAACTAATTAGATGCCATATTTCACAACAATGGCAATGAGTACTCTTTCAGTAAACTGAGCACATTTTTACCAAATTGGCCATTTGCATCCAAATTATTAATTACTAACTAAGATTAGGGAGATTCACTATTATACCTAATATAGGGGACCAAATTATAAAAAAAAATCTTATATGAAATGGACTTTAGAAACATACCGAAACCCATTTACAACATAACAAATATGCTTTTAACTTCTTATAAATTACAAAACTGTTATCCATTTCTTAAAACAAGCTCAATCCCAAAACCTCATAAAAATGCCCAAAACACTCAATAGGACATCAAAGTAATTTAATAATCAAAATTAAATTCAATAAGGCCAGCTGTCATTTTTTAGATTTTTTTTGTTTATATAAATTAAATGGTGTATGGTTTATTTATATTATTAGTGCTAAGAATGGGTATATAACTAAATATCTCTTAAGGGTTATTGATTTCTTTAATTATAAGTAAGTTGGTAATGCAAAGTCCCTCAAAATTATATTCCCCACCCCAAGGGGAATATATATATATATAAACAAGGTGGGTATGCATGGATCACACACATCTCCTATGGCCACTTCAATATCTTACTTGGCTAGTAGAGCTGCCCTTGTTTTTGTTGTTGCATTATTGGAATATTATCTCATCTCCCTTAATCACCTGGTAATCAGTGCTAACAGCTCTCCTAATAATAATTACTGCACACCCATTGAAGCCAACGACACTGACCTGATTCAGTTTGCGTTGAACTTGGAATTCTTGGAGGCTGAGTTTTTTCTGCATGGTGCTCTTGGCGAAGGGCTCGATGCTATCAGTCCAAATTTGGCTCTAGGTGGGCCCCCTCCCATTGGTGGTCACAAGGCCAATCTCAACCCTCTTGTTGCCCCTATCATCCAAGAATTTGGATATCAAGAAGTTGGTCATCTCAGGTATAATTTTCTCTAATTGTAATTAACTTGTTAATTATACTTGTAATCCCCTCAACGACTTGTATTATTGATGAATTTTCAGAGCAATTATTACAACAATAGGAGGATTTCCAAGGCCTCTGTTAAACCTGAGCCGTGAGAATTTCGCAGCACTGTTTGACCAAGCAGCGGGGTTCCCGTTGACCCCTCCATTTGACCCATATGCAAACTCAGTCAATTATCTGCTCGCATCCTATGCCATCCCTTACGTGGGACTGGCAGGTTATGTTGGCACCATTCCAGACCTCACTGAGCCAACTAACTGTAGAGTAAGAATCTTTAGTTAATTAATTTTAAGTATTTATTTATCAAAGTAATTAACTATTAATTAACACTCTTAATTTGTGCGTAGTTGGTGGCATCACTTTTGGGGGTGGAGGCTGGACAAGATGCAGTGATACGTGCCTTGCTGTATAAGATGGCTCATTGGAAGGTGTTTCCGTACACACTCACAGTGGCTGATTTCACCAACCTAATTTCTGGCCTTAGGAATAAGCTTGGCAGGTGTGGCATCAAAGATGAAGGCATCATAGTGGCCCAGGCTCTCGGGACTGAGAATCGGACGTGTAGCAACGTCTTGTCGGCCGACCTGGATTCGCTGTCGTATGCGAGAACACAACCTGAGATCCTGAGGATTGTGTATGCAACTGGCGATGAGTCTGTGCCAGGAGGATTTTATCCTCGAGGTGCAAATGGCAACATTGCAAGGCGCTTTCTTAATGGTTATTAGTATCTCTTGATGATTTATAAGACCACCCAATCAGTGCTTGTCTCTAAGCTAGCACATAAATCATTAACTAATCCCAATATATATCGTTATAAATATGTTGTTTGTGTTTATGAATCTCAATCAATGATTGTAATAATGAATTACGAATTGTTATTGTACGTGATATATATATATATATTTAAATTATACCAAGTGCTTTTAAGTTTGTCAACCCCTTGTAATTGGATTATTTCATTAAATCCTTACCTTTTTTTTATAAAAAAAAACCAATTTTCGAAAAAAGGAGGATTCAAACACAGTTTTTTTAAATAAGCGATAGTGTAAACTATAAAAGGAGAGTGGGGGAGGGGGAGGGTTCTCTCTTTCACACACACACACACACACACACACACACACACACAACTAAGGTGTCATGAGAGTTCAAACATGAGACTACTAATATGCAAGTCAAGGTAATTTTCCACTTAGCTAAATCTTGTTGGCATATTCAAACACATAATTTAAGTGGATAGACCAATAATCACTTCTCAATATAATCACTTTAAGTGGTTTTAAGTGATTTTATGGAGAAACAAATGGCAGACGTTTCTTACGATAATCACTTAAAGTGATTATATGGAAAGCACCTCCCCATAAGTGATTATGGCCCTTCCAAAATCACTTCCAAACGAACCCTAAATACATAGATAACTACTATTAACAACTTAGCTAAAAGTCTCAAAATGATCACTTTTGTACAGTATGTACTTGCGGTTTTTTTGTTTTGTTTTTTGTTTTTTTTCCTGTTTTGGTTTGGGTTTGAAAAAATCAAATGCAATATTAAAGAGCCGAAACAATGCAACGATCCCAACAACGCCTAAAGAGAGAGAAGGGAAATAGTAGCACTGCAGAGGAAAGCGTTGATGGGCCTTGAGGCCTAACTTAAACCATGGCCTTTCCTTATACAAATACAATAACGTTCTCTCTGACTAAAAATATAAACACCACAATATTCATTTATCATTTGCTAACGTCGAGCAAGATCCTCTCAAAATGTTTATCAATGTTGACGATGAGCCGAAGCAAGCAACAGTTGGCTTTTGATCGGACAACACCTACCTACGGTACCTAACCTAATTGGGTTTTCGAAGATGGGTCGTCGTCATTATCTCATCGACCTGCCATCTTTTTTGTACAGTTTCATTTGTGCCCACACAATTAAGTGGAAATTAAAATAGACACCAACTGTGTTGATAATGCATGAAAATTAAGGCTGCTTATTGAAGTTAGGCATGTGGGACCCCTGTTTAGAGGACAAAAATATCGCGGACGGGACGGGATTAAGCCTTGCTAACACACATGAACTTTGTCAAACAAACGATTAATAAACTTGACATTGTTGCCCTAAGTTATTGACAAAGAATCTCATCCATTAATTTTAAGAAGATAGGGGTTGAGTTCAGAGTTTGGTTAGCCTCTTTAACCACCCTATATATATCGTGCCATACCCTACGGCCTACGCACAGTCACAGTGCTAGACTTATCTAACTTTGTACACCCTACATTTGACCCGTATGCAAACTCAATCAACTATTTGTTGGCAGCCTATTTGATCCCTTACGTTGGACTCACCGGTACGTTATGGCCATGCTTACTATCCCTTTCCTAAGATGCAGTGATACGCACACTACTGTATGAAAGAGGGAATCAGATCGTGCTTCCATATAACCTGACGGTGGCTGACTTCACGGACCGAATATCGGCGCAGAGGAACAAGCTGGGCAAGAGTGGCAACAAAGAGGAAGGCACCATAACGCTTGGGGCTGAGAATAAAACCACCAGTAACGTTCTGTCAGCGGATGTGAATTCGCTATCGTATGCAAGGACGCCACCTGAGATCTTGCGGATTGTGTACGGAACAGGCAATGAATCCCTGCAAGGCGGATTTTATCCTCAAGGTGCAAATGGCAAAATTGCAAGGACCTGCGTTACCGTGGCTGGAGGAGGAAGAGGAGGCTAGAAATCAATGTGATACACTTCCAAATAATCAGGGCAGCAATTTTAATTGCAGTGCCTGATTAATATATATGTATGTCACCATGAATCTTGAGACTATAATAAATAAAGTCTTGATTCTTATTCGACTATGTAGTAAATTATATCAAGAATAATATATGGCGCTCACTTATTGAGGGTGTATCAAGTTTTCTTTTTCTTTTCTTTTCCATAGTTACACTCTCCAACCCAAAAATAAATAAAAACTTAGAGGTCTCGTGTTCGAATCCCTCTCCCCAATAACATCATTATCTCCCAGAAAAGAAAGCTACCAAAACACATGATGTCCACTCCATCCATTGATTATTTTCTGGTGATTATGAACATTATGGAAGTAGTTGCTTTCTCCTTTTTCCGGTCTCTCTGGCCTGTAAAGTTGTCTGAGAAGTGGGGTATTTGGTGTAAAGTTGTCTGAGAAGTGGGGTAATTTGGCAGCACTTTATGTGGTGGGGAAGAGAGATTTAACCCTTCCCCAAAGTTGTTCTTTTGATATCCCTGTGAACTTACAAAATCTTAAGTATAGTTCTTAATTAATGAAAGATTAGTCTTGTGCTGAGCATTTCATTAGGTTTCACTTCTTAATTACCACTGAATTATATAAATCTTAATCTTAATTTGTAAGAATTTAGCTACTGCGAATATTCTCTTGCTATAGATTTCCTATCTTTTTGCGTTTACTATTATTATTATTATTATTATAAAGTAATGTTTTAACTACTTTAATCTACGGGAAAATAAATTAAACTCGCGGGCGCCCCAGGAGTGCAGTTTTCGATTTCCTATCACTTGATTTGAAAATCTCAAGAGGGGTAATGCATGGTGAGTCAGTGTGTCAATAATGGGGCACGTTTTGTAAATGTAAAGCCCAAACTTTAGGGTAAAAGTAGCAGTAAACAGCAAAACTGAGATCCTTGATATATTTTCCTCCAACCCCAAGCGCCCAAATATCCAGAAACATTTGCATGCGCATGTTGGGTGCACGCTTGAACACGGTGTCATATATATGATATATCTACGCACCCACACACACAACACAACAAACACTTTATGACCACTGATCCTTAGATTTAGCTGCATTGCATGACTATAGTCTATCTATCTATCTATCTATCTATCTATATATATATATATATATATATATTTACATGTGCTCAATTTTCAAACAGGCCACTAGGACATCATGGTCATCATCACCTTTAAAGCTTAATTTGTGGAGCTACATCAAGTTGCAATTGAATGTACGAATCTCATGATGAACGAACACCGGCCATTGTAGAGTGAGCTGTCTTTGTAGACTCATGAGTGCCATATTTTTGTGAGGATGTCGAACATTTCTTCACATTCTCACAATTTTATTCGGAAACCAAAATGATCGATAATGTCAAGTAAGTATAAATCTGTACAAGCGAGTACAATTCTCTGTAACTACTTTTTTCTTTGTTCTGCTTTTTGGCTGTACACGTAAAATCTATGAATTGCTGCCACCCAATTGTTTCTGATGTCAGCGCATTGTATATACGGCTCTATCCAATCCAATTCAGATATCTTCACGTCCACACCAAATTAACAAGAAAGGAGGAACATGTGCAGCCATTTTACGGTATAGCATTTGCCCTTGTCTGGCCAAAATCCAGAGATGCTTAAAACTGACTGTTTCTCTGTATCCCAAAAATTAGTTTTCTTAGTTATACGGATTCAAAACATAAAAACTTGTCGTTTTAATTTGATCTAACAAAAGCAAGAAAAGAGGTTGATTTTATGTTTTATTTTTTTCCTTCATAGAATTAAAATGATGATACAAACATCAAATTAATTAAGGTGCATAATTATTTTATATCCTCTGCAGAATGAGATGGCAGATGCATATTTAAATCTTATTGCACTACCTTTGTTAGTTGAGTAGCAGGGAAATGAAGAGTAACAAAAAGAGTTGTAATGTATCCCTATAATTAAGGGGTCCACTTTGGATCCCTTGGACTAAAGAAACAGGCCTTGACATTAGAATCAAGCAGCTTAAGCGCCTTATTAGACTTGATGCACCTTGGAGTTTTGTACTGGTTGATTGAACCCCCTTGGCTAATGAAATAGTCCATTAATTCCTCGAACGTGCCGGGCTCAACCACACGTATCTCAAGCGGGCCCACCGACTTGTCGTGTGCCCGGCATCGACGGTAGATGTAATCAAGCTCCTCTTCCACTGCAATGCAGCATTCTTGGAGCACCTTATCCACATCAAGTGTTGAAGAGTCCAAATCCACCACTGATGATCCATGGTGTATGATCTCCCAATACAAGACGTAGTGACCGGGCAAATGTGACGTGTCCGCATAGCTAGTGTACTCCACAAGCAAAGCATTGAAGGGCTCTAGCAATTTTTTGGCTGCACTTATGCTTTTGTGCAAGTCCTCTTCATTGGTTTTGTCATTGTCGATACTGAGAACAACATTCCTCCTACAAATGAACCTAAATTGTGGCGCTTCATTGTGAAATCCAGTCACTTGGAGCACATCGCCAATTCGATAACGATATAATCCTGATTAAATCCAAATCCAAATCCAAATCAATCAATCTTTGAAAAATTAAAACTACCTAGTGCTAAATGCTTAGTGCTAGAAATATATTTCTTACCAGCAAAAGTGGTAACCACCAATTCATAATAGCAGCCAACCCTCACTTGCACCAAATCAACAAGCTTATCATTACGCACCTCCTCGTCCTCATCTATGTCCATGAGCCGTGTCCCGTTCTCTCCCAATGGTATGAATTCAAAATATCCCATATTGGGCAAAAGGGTAAACGCCACGTCGGCAGGGTCACAGAGGGGCTCCAAGTTGACACCAAAGTAGCACTCTGAGGAAGCATACATGGTGCAAACTAAGGGAAGTTTTCCATCGCTATAGTACTCTAAAGCCGGTATATATTGTGCCATGGACCCCGTTACCACAGCCTCAATGTACTTGGCTTTAGGCCAAAGCTGGCACAGAATTCCCTTCCACGATGTTTGGCTACAAATGTCCTTAATCTCATCAGCTAAACTAGGATTAGGCAGAGAAAGCAGGGGAGCCATCGATAAACGGCATTCGGGGTCTGTGATAAAAGGGTCTAATTGTCCAGTACGTATGTCATTGCAAAAATTGACCCAATTACGTTCAAGGAACGAAATCGCTCGTAGGAAAGCGGATGCAAAGACGGCCCCGAGCCGCAGGACGTGGTGGCGGTGGACAAGGCCTGATAAGAGCTGGCAATACATGCTTTGGTTGCTGTCATTGCAAAGAATGGTCTGGTCAGGGCTTGTGCCATTGTTGAAAGGGTCGAGCCCCCGGTACTTGAAGTGGCTGCTCTTGTAGTAGCTGGTAAGCACCGTTCGAGCTGGCAAACCACAAGGTGTTGACATTTCTGCCTTCACAAAGTAGAGGAACATAGCCTTGCCCTCGTCTAGACCAGGGACATACCTGCAATATTTACAATATCGAACACATGGGAATAATTGTAATCAAAATCATGACCAGCTTACAGTTCTTGCCCTTGACAACTATCAATATATTATACAAGCAATAGTCTGAACTAATCTAAATTAATCTCATCTACAAAAGAGAAATTCAAACCGTGCAAGGAGATGGGCTTACTGCCTGACCAATTGACCTAACACACATTTGCATCAACATATTAACTTTAATCTTTTGGTTAGTGGCTTGCGCATCAAAATGGAAGAGGATAACATTTTTAGGCTAATAGCCTTGAAGAGGATAACATGTCCCATCATCAGGCCATGTTCTCAACTGTACACAATCAAGCACAGTGGTTGGATAAGGAAGATTAGCTGAACTTTTTAACAGTAGGGATAATTTATTATCACTAGCAAAGAATTTGGTCAAAAGAAGGGTAAAGGAGGCCATCTTTACTTAAAACGAATATATGCACAAATATTGTGGTTCCCTCCTAGAGGGGATGTATTTCATGTTCATAGTAATGCATGAGATGTGAATGAAGAGAGAAGTCGTAATTAATTAACTGGTTCATAATTGGCATAATGAGATTATATAGAAAGGTTCGACGATCGAGATCTTCTGCGATCGATGGCATCATCTTAGGCTTTCTGCCTGAAGTTCCCGAGCTGCAAATGCCATAAGCAAAATACATCAAAATTGATCACATGTAAAAACAAGTAAAGAACCCATCAAAGAGGAACAGAGGAAAAACAGAGATACCTGCATAACATCTCAGTTATTGGGTGGCCAGTAATGAGAGAAGAGTCTTCACCATTAGCAATTCTTTGGATGTAAGGCTGAATGGCCTTGTAAGTAATGACTGGGACACATTGCTTAAAAGCTGATACATCTTTTGATCCCTTCATGTACTTACTCAAATACTCGGTTTTCGAATTTCGTGTTAAGATCTCTTTTAGAAATTTGAACTGAACTTTATCAGCCTTGGCTGTGAGCCTCTCAATCTCCTTCAATGCCTCCTCACCTTTGTACTCTAGTTTCTTCCCATCCATGTTGTTAGTAATTAATTATAATCAAGGAAGCAGAAGAAACTAGAGTAGAAGAAAACTCTAGTTTTAGAAACCAATAGGAGGGTCTATATATAGAGTTTGGCTGTGTTAGATGATTTTCACAGGTGCATTGCATTTCTAATTCTCTTCTTCTTTTTTTTCTTTCTTTTTCTTTCCACATCACTGCAACCTATTGGGAACAGTTGGTGCTGACGACATCCAAAATGTGGCCCCTACATACGATATGCAGAAATCTGAACAATCTGGCCCCTACGTATGATTTGTAGAAATTGTAATTATATATAATTTAGTTAAGCATGCATCAGATATAGCAATTTGTCTGCATGGAATGCATGATGTGTTTATGATGGTTCTACTATTATTCATTTCCTTTGTATGAGAATTTTAAACAATACATGTATGATTTTCAAGTTAGGAAATTAAACTTAACTTGAAGAACTTGCCCCCCC